TTAAATGAAGAAGATATAGAAATTCTAAACACCCCAATTACAATGAGTGAAATTGAAAATGTAATAAAGAATTTACCAACAAAGAAAAGCCTAGGTCCTGATGGGTTTACTGCTGAATTCTACAAGACATTTAAAGAAGAACTATCGCCATTACTCTTTAAACTCATCAAGGAAATTGAAAGGGAAGCAAGGCTTCCAAAATCTTTCCTGGAAGCAAGTGTTACTTTGATTCCAAAATTATATGAAATAGAGGAGAAGAAAAAGTTTTCTTTAAAAGAAGTGAGAATTGTTCGATTTTACCCTTTTAAAAAGAGCTGGGTTGAGGGCTGGGGATTTAGCTCAGTGGTTCTGGTGCCTGCCTCGAAAGCGCAAGGTCCCGAGTTTGATCCCCAGTACCAAAAAAACAAAAAAGAGCCGGATTGAACTGGACTTCTAACCGGAAGCCTAGCTCACATTTGTGAGTAGAAATCATGACTTTGGCCGTGGGGAGTGTTGGGAGAAGTCACGGCGAGGTGCTGGGGCAGGAAGTCCTTTCACACTCAACCTGGTGTCAGCAGTGTCTGTCAGATCCTGACCTGGATCCTCAAATGACATTTAAATATATGGTTGGAATTCTTCACTTTGGCCTGAAAATTATTGCCAAGTAGGCACGTGAAGAAATTTGTCACTAAGCATTGTAAATATTTTTAAACCTGGGAGTAAAGTAATATGAAAAATGTGTCTTAGGAAGAGTCTGGAGATTTTTAAAACTATTCTTGCAAATTATGAGAATTTACGTATGTTGTCTTAGAATCTGAATTGAGTTTTTATAGGATTAGTTTACCATATATTTAAATTTAACAGTTACTACCATATTATTGTAAGAAAATAGCTTACATCTGAAACAGTTAACAAGTTATTTACAAAGTATTATAATATCCCAAAGTAAGTGTTTGGAGGTTTATTTTAGATTTTTCTTATTTATTTAATTCCCAAATCTATCCTAATGGGATAGACCTCCCTCTCAGATAATTGGTTTTTAAAGTGGATAGTAGCTATTTATTCGTGATTTAAGATTGGATTCTAAGCAGCAACCCCATTTGTGACAAAATCCAACGTGTTAAAGATCATTTTGACATGCATTGTTTGTTGATAGAAAAAAAAATCATGAAGCCTTTTTGCCTGACCATATTTTACATTGCCAAAGAGGTTTCTTTATAAGCCCTCATTGTCAAAGTCAGCCCAACAGTGAAACTGACATTTGTATGAAAGGAGTGTATGTGTTTTGAACACACAAATGAAAAAAGAATAATTGAGTGACAGCATGTTCACAGGCTATAAGAACATGGTAAGAGAGATGGTGACCATCCGAGCATTCACAGGACTTTATGAAATCCTTACAACTCCAGGGTGTAGTTAACCCCCAGAATTAGCTCATAACTAACCAGTTTGGAATTCCACTTTCCAGAAATAACAAGCTGTGAAATGTATAGAGAGCTGGCAAAAAAAAAAAAAAAAATTAAAGCACACATATCTTTTGGGCCAGGGATTTAGCTCAGTGGCTCTGCCGCCTGCCTCGCAAGCGCAAGGACTGGAGTTCAATCCCTGGTACCAAAGGGGAAAAAAAAAGCTTAAAGAGAGCTGGCCAAAAATCCTGCTTTTCTTTTCTCGCTCCATGCTGAAGGCAGCCAATCTCAAGCGACCCTGCACCCAAAGGCCTCTAGTGTGACATTCCTTGCAGAATGGGATGAAGTTGCTTTCTGACTTAATCCTTTTCTATTCTTCTAAACAAGTGTTTCCTTCACTACCATGTAGCATCCCTGAGGAAAGACTAGAAGTGCTGTGGTCAGGATGTTGTGTGCGTTTTAAACTGAGCTCCTCTGCCAGGCAGTCACCAGAGAAGCCCTGGTGTTCCGCTGGGGAGGCACAAAGGTGTTAAGTTGAGGAGTACTGGACAGCAGGGAGGGTGATGCAAGCATGGGAGCTGCAAAATTCCGCTTTAACTCAAACTTTATAGAGATATGGACAACATTGCTGAGCAGACGCCAACCAAGTGTCAGTCGCTTGGTCAGGCAGCACATGGCAGGACACTCGGTGCCTCGCTGCTCCCCTGGGCTCGGAGGAGCTACTGAGAGCCCGCCAGCATGTGAGCCTGGAGTACACAGTGACCTAAACCAGCTTGGAGAGCTGGTCTGTTAGCACGTTCTCCATGCCTCGGGTCATTAAGGGGAATGTGTGAGCCAGGGAGAAGCCTGCAGCCGCTCCGGTGGAGTCGTCCCAAATGGTTGGGGAGCTGAGTGGAGACAGCTGCCTGAAGCAGCCTCTGGGCTGGCAGGAAGCAGTGTGGCATCAACCAGAGATGTCTTCTGGGGGTGTGGGGGGGTCTGCAGCCACACCCGCCGCACAGCTGCCATTCTTGAGCTGGGCCCACACCCTTCCCTTCACAGCAAGGAAAGAGAGGCTCAGAAAGCCCCAGTTTACTTTCTTCACAGTACTCATTATGAGCCTGCATATCACAAAGTACAAATTTGTCTAAACTCTGTTCCTTCAGCAAAAAAAAAAAAAAAATCATGAAGCTGCAAAACAGCATTTTGCCATGTGTCTACTATTCCATTCCGTTGCACAATAATTCTGTTCAGTTTGATTTTACCGCTGTGTGCCTAACCTCAACTCATCCTTCCCAAGAGTGGGAATGGAAGTAGGCAGGGAACAAACACCGACCTCATCTTCAAGTGACTGGCACCTTAGTAGAAGTGGCACAAGTCCCGCTGTCCTTTACTAAGTGTTATCTTTACCGATTTGAACCAAGTCATTTTGACTCAGAGAGGCGGGAGCTGTTCGCACTGGGTGGGGTTTGGAGGATGAAACCCCTGAAGAAGTGGCACTGGGTCTGAATCTTCAAGGATGAGTTAGAGTTTGCTAGGTGGAGGAGAATGATGCATAAGGAAAAAGGGAGAAGATGAATACCGTGCTTTAGAAAGTGTATTAGTTTTCCATTGCAGCAAAACACCCATGGCTGGCTCATCCGTAAAGAAAAGAGGTTTGTTCATGCACCAACTACCAAGGAATGTAAACATTATGTACTGCAATCATGGACTAATAAACAAAGAAATAAAGAACAAGTCACTGAAACATACTGATCTTTCAATACAATGGCATTGCTTTTAACAACATGCAAGAATGTTGGCAGCAAGAATATTTTGCTTTCCCCCTACAAAGACAGCCAACAAGAAAACCTCCAACAGAAAGTCTTGTTCTTTGTTGACACTGGTCAACTTTTTAGCTTTTCAATTGAAGTATAACACAGACACACAGTGCTAGTTATATATAGACGTACAGCTTTAGTGAATTTTTGTTGACCACACACACTTCACCAGCACCCAAATCAAGAAACCAAATATCACAAACTCCCAGACACCTCCTTCAGGTGCCCCACCTCACCCAGGACATCAAATCCTGACTTTCTCCAACATTAGCTAACCTTTGTGTTTATGTAGTTTAAGTAAAAGCAAGCATTACACTATGTATGTTTTAGTAATTGGCTTTTTTCACAAACATGTACATGAGATTCACTTATATTTTTGTGACTAGTCCATGTTTTTCATGTAAATTCTGTGGAAGATGGGAAAGCACTTTGGCAAGAAGTTTATTGTCCAGCAAGTGCATTTGATTTAAGCTAATGTATGTGCTGCCGTTACCCTCAGAGTCCATTTACGGAAGGTGTACTTGCAAGAACAAGAGATTTGGAGTGTGTGTTTAATCATGAAGTTATGTACACTGCAGCCTACTTCATTTTGTTTCCATTGTCTTACAGGTATAAAAACCAGGTACCAATAAACGTCCATGCAAACCCTGGAAAGTACATTATTGAGAGTCGATATGGAATGCACACTTTGGAGATCAACACGTAAGAGCGCGTCAGCATGTGTGTGTGTGCGTGTGTGCATGTGTGTGTGCACACGTCGCCCCCCCCAGCAATTGCTCAGCTCACAATGACACACCCCCTCTTCTGCTCCCAGGCAGCCTGGTCACCGTGAGGGACCGCGGTGTACGTGCCTTCTCTTGGTGCACACCTAGGAGAGATGCATGACTAATCCTTGCCACGCCCATACCACCTCCCAAAGCAGTCACACATATGAATTTACAGACATAATGAGAGAAATTAATTTTTATCTTTTTATTTATCCCTTTAATACTTGAGAATTATTCTTCGATATTAGTAAGAAAATAAGTTACATAAGTAGGCATTTCTGTTCAGTTGCCCTTGCAGAGTTGCAAATCAGCATCGTCATTACATCCTCTTGCTTTTGATCCACAAAGGCCGTGGGACAAGCCAGGTGGCACTGCACGTAGGCAGAACTTAGAAATAATATTCTTTCCTTCAGCTCACCAGGAACAGGGGAAAACTATCCACTTTGTCAGTCTGTGTGTTAGAGAAAGGCTCAGATATTAGAATATTTTAGGGTAAAGCAAACCCCAAAGCAATATTTGAAAATAAAACTCACATCAAAATTTCAAAGCACAAAGCCAGGCATGGTGGCACATACCTATAATCCCAGCACTTGGCAGGCTGAGGCAGGAGGATTGCTGCAAGTTCAAGGCCAGTCTGGGCTACATAGTAAGTTCAAGGCCAGCCCGAACCACATAGTGAGACCTTGTCTCAAAAAATAAAAACAAAACAAAAGCCAGGCATGGTGGTGAATGCTTATAATCCCACCACTCAGGAGGCTGAGGCAGGAGGATTGCCATTAGTTTGAGGCCAGCCTTGGTCACATAGTGAGTTCAAGGCCAGCCCGAACTACATAGCAAGACCCTGTCTCAAAAAAGAAAAAAAAAATCTCAAGCCCTCAAAGCTTTATCGTAGGGGCTGGGGATTTAGCTCAGTGGTTCCGCCGCTTGCCCTGCAAGCGAAAGGACCTGAGTTCGATCCCTGGTACCCAAAAAAACCCTTTATCATGTCTCCCAAGATGGGTTTGAAATCTAAACTTGGTTATGCGATGAAAACACTAAACAAGCTCCCACCATGTTCAGTTCAGATAAAACCACAATGTCTCGAAAATGCCAACAGGAAACTAACATTATCCCATTCTCAAGAGATTTATAGCTTTCTGCCCCCGTCAGAGGAGCTGGTCAGGTGACACAGGGCTTCACACAGAGCCCTGGGGCCCTGTGACGTTTGCCAACACTGATCTGAAGTCTCACGGCCTGGGCAAGTGAGTGCTCTGCTGGGCCAGCAGTGAGCATGTGGCCGCTTCCAAAATTAATGAGAAAGGCAACCGCAGCTGCTTTCCCGGGGTCCTAGTGATGTCTGTAAAGAGTCAGGAAGAAACAAGTTCATCCAAATGAAACCAGACCCTGAGAGGCAGTGAAGAGCACGAAGAACTGCTGTGATAGGGCGTGAAACAGCCTGCTTTGAAATCTTAGCCTGTTCATCTCTCTGTGAGCTCATTCACTGCCTAGGTCCATTTTACAAGGCACTCCAGTGTCTGGTTTGTGTCTCTCAGAGGAAGTGGCCCTTGTGTTATGCTTTGGGCAGAAAGCCCAAGCTCAGCCTGAACATGAGTAGAGTTGAAGTGTAAATAAGTCACTTTTGTTTTGAAACCAGAGCACGGAACAATACATTAAACCAGCTGGGCTCGAGTTCGAGTTCGTGGCCCAGGAGGGCTGTGGGAATCCCAAGGAGGGGATGTGGGAGCCCACGCCCTCCAGTGTGCCCCCAGGTGGCTGTCGCCTCCTCAGAGGTACAGGCCGCACAGCCCCTCCTCCCGGTAGGACTTCAGACAAGACTTGCATAACACTGCTCACGCTGCAATTTAGGTGCTTAGCACTTTGCCGATTCTGGTTTTTTATCTATTTGGAAACTCAAACGAACCTGAGCTCGGGTCACAGTGGCAACAGAGGCTCTCCCCGCACTCTGCCGCTGTGCGGAACTGCGGCGGATCCAAGCACTGCATGGCGTCCCAGGGCCTCAGGTCAGAAGGGCGCTCCATCCAGCATCCCCGAGGGCCACACACCAGCCCCTGGTGTGCACTGTGCTGTGGAGCAAGTCAGCTGCAGCGGCCACTCATTTCCACGTGTCTTCCAGGTGTGACTTCGAAGACACAGCTCAGTACCGGGCCTCGGCCATGAACGTCAAAGGAGAGCTTTCAGCCTACGCATCAGTTGTGGTAAAGAGTAGGTTTGCCAGATTCATTTTGTTCAAAGAGGTTTTTAAAAATTTCTTCGCATTGCTTAAGAGCCCATCGGTCAGTCACAAAGCACTTCCCATGTGTTTCTGTTTCCTCTTTAGGGTACAAGGGAGAGTTTGATGACCTGCACTTCCATGCCAGGGCTGCCTCCAGGCCCCTCAGCTGTGAGTTCTGCCGTGGATTTGCTGAGGGACATCTTTCCGTCTTTATGGGGAATGCAGCCTAAGAAGTTATTCTATCCTGCTGAAATACATGTGCACCACTCACGATATGCTGTCATAACATAGGCTTGGATGGTTATGTTGTGGATCTGTAGTTGTATTGTTCTTTTAGATTCTTTGGTTACTATTCTCTTGCGCAGTCTAATTGCTTTGAGTTTTATGAAAGCCAAGATGTGATGGGCTAAAAATGGCAGATGCTTTTTTTTTTGGTACCAGGAATCGAACTCAGGTCTTTGCTACAAATGCTTTTTTTAACCCTCACTGTATCCAACCGAGAAACATCATCATACACCCCCGGGTGGAGAGACTGGCCCGGCGATCCTTTTGCGGTCCTCTGAATGTATCCTGTTTCCTCCCGTGGCCATGCTATCTTCCATGTCTCTCCCTCTCCCGCCCCTTCCCAGCGTGGTACCAAAGGCCTAGCTCACCCTGCTTGCTGCTCAGAGGTCCTGACAGCCTCTCCTGAGCCCGGATTTAAGTGCAGTTGCTCCTGAGGACAGAGAGCTTGTTCATGCGGTCAGCTATGAGTCACTGGGCAGCTGCTGTGTGATGGCTTGGGAGTTGTTACATGCTGCCAATGTCACAGGTGGACAAAGCTCCCTGCTCTTGCTTTTGTTCTAGTAGTTACCCTGCATCGATCAGTTGTTCCAAACGACGTACAAAGCCATTTTCAAATGTGTTGATTCATTTAAGGCTCGCCAGTGGCTTCTAAAGCTTTTATCTGAATTTTTATCTGTGCTCTGCAGATGAGGAAACAGTTTGGAGGTAGCGGGACGAGACCCCACACGCTGGTAGTATGGGGACTTGGAGCCTGGTCTTGCTAATTCTAAATCGTGGTGTTAAGCAGGAGTTGGCAGACATTCTCTGCAAGGAACTAGACTGTAAATATTTTAGGTTCTGTAGGCCATATGGTCTCTGCTGCAGCTGCTCGGCTCTGCTGCTGAAACAGGAAAGCAGCCACAGGCAGTAGGTGGTGAGTTCAGCCGTGTCCCAGTGAGACCTTCCTTATGCACACTGAAACTTGAATTTCCAGCGACATGTCTCAAAGCTGCCTTTTTCTTTTGCTTCTTTTCAGCCATTGGAAAAGCTCAAAACCATTCATGCTGATATGAAAGAGGAGGCAGTCCAGATTTGGCCCACAGATTTCCCTGTCCCTGCCCTAACCCATTTGTCCCAGGATGGAGAGTGCATGTGATAAAAGCTTAAGGAAGTGATGGAGGAAGGGTATTTTGTCCTCTGGCTGTTAGAGCTGGCTTCTTCTTGAACCCCAAAACCACCCCAGACAATGCAGCCCAATCTCTGAGGCAGAAAGGACCTAGAAGTTAGAGCCTGCCGTGCTCCCGGTGGGTCTGGAACTTCTGTGTCACTGCAGAGCCTCCTTACACTTCCTCTGGTCCCCAAGGTGGCTCTGGAGCCTAGCCTCCAGCTAGCATCTCCTAGCGTGGTGGGACAGCATCACATGGAAACAAGGCAGATGGGAGAAAGGCTTCAAAGGGAAGTTCTCCCAGCGTCAGTGGTTACCTGGGAGCACAGTGCAGGGCCATACAGCGCACTGGTAGAGAGCAAACGTTCTGCAGACAGCTGGCCAGTGTAAATCCAATCCGGCACAGTGGGGGGGCGTGGACAGTGGCTGAGCTGCGTTTGCATCAGTTTCCTCTTCCATAACATAGAGATGATAACGGTACTTGCCCGGTAGGGTGATTATGGGGCTGAGCCGAGTTGACAGCTGTTAAGTACATTCCGCAATACCTGGCAAAGGTGAACTAAATAAATTCTAGCTTGATTTTCAAGATACTATTACAAGGCCTTAGGAAGATAGACTAAATGTAAAGAGAAAGGGTCTAAGTTCTGGAGTTGAGCAGTTAGGGTTTGAAGTTTAACCCTGCCCATGTTGCCAGTGAAGCCTTGGTGCTAGCTGTGTGTCACATGAGAACTTCCGCGTCCCCTCGGAAGCGGGGAAAGACTCGACCTGATCCGTGCCATTGTGAGAGTAGATGACATGTCACCTGTGAAGGGCCCGGCACCTAATAACCCATCAGTGATAGGCATTTCTCTCCTAACCTCCTTTCCTTTGAAAAAGGAGAAAAGAAAACCCAGGAAAGTCAATGATGCAAGCATTTAATCTATAACTAAGATGTTTCCGAGAATAATTCTTTCAAAGTTACAGTATTTTAAACTTTTCCATTTTCTCTCATTGATACTTTTTTACAAATTTTAAAAATGAAGTTCTTCTCCTACTGAAAGACTCTGTCACAGTAGTTGATATGACTGTTTTGTCTTAAGAGTATAAGCAGTAGACCTTAACTCCAAATCTGAATTAGAAGACAAGTATATTCAGCTGAACAAATGTAGGCTAAATGTGGTATTAATTTGCATTTTAGACATTAAATGAAACCCTTTAAATTCTATTTATTACAATAATAAACAAGCAATTTGATTATATGATCAATGATGTAAGAATTCCTACACAAATGAGGGATTGTGTTCTACACAGCTCTTACATAGAACTTTATTTTTGGCCGGATAAATCATCTGTTCAATTCTCTGTCACAACTGCTTTCTGCCTGTGCTGTTTAAAATGCTTGAGACTCTTTGATGAGAAAAAGAAATAAATCATGGGTATTTGTTTTTGTTGTAACCAGTTGCTGTGACCCCTTATGGTTACGCATCCAAGTTTGAGATCCACTTTGATGACAAGTTTGACGTGTCCTTTGGGAGAGAGGGAGAGACAATGAGTCTGGGCTGTCGTGTGGTCATCACTCCTGAAATCAAGCATTTCCAGCCAGAAATCCAGTGGTACAGGAATGGTAAGTCTTTGTCTTGAATTCTGGCCTGGATTCTTGCTCTCAGAAGCTATGGGCCAGAGTGCTGAGCTGTTTATTTATCAAGGCTGGTGTAACCTGGAAGTCAGAAGGCACAACTTGCTGTGTGTCTAACAAACGTTTACATACACATCAAAGTAGCAACACTTTAATAATATATTTATGGAGGTGAGATTTTCTTATCGCCAAAGAACTGGAATTACCAAAAAAATGAATATTCACTTTGTAAGTTAATTTTGTTAAAATCCTTTTTCCCATAGACATCATTTATACCAAAAAAGTACAAAACTTTAAAAACATATAAATATATGAAACAATAAATCCTGATATTATTAATTAACCAGCAGAGTAAGTGAAAAGGAGATTCAGACCTTAGCGGTTCTGTTTTAATGTGTTCAAGGCTCTTTACAATTGTGAAATGTTTAGCTTCGGTGATAAGATGACATACAACAAAAGAAAAATCTGACCTACTTTGTGTCCTTAGGCGGCATCAGGCAGTAGGCACATTCTGAAGGCAGAATACACTTACTGTAAATTTCAAGTTACTTTTTGGGCATGTGAGCTGTACCGTCTGGAAGGGGACCTGAGCTTCATTTAATGCTCAGCTGGCACCTTGAAATTCTTAATCATTTGTCCTTGAACTTGTGTTTTGTCTGGAAGTTCGATGGACCTGCGGCTCATGCACAATGGGAGGAGCAGCCGCGCAGTGGGCGGGCCGCGGGACGGGGGGGCGGAGGGCAGCACGCTCCCCCAGCGGCAGCCGGCCTGCAGGGGCACGCCGGCCCCTGGGCTGTCGGGGCTCTGGGTTCAAGGTAAACCACTGAGACCCGGAACCGGCTACCGCATGCCCCGGCAGCAACACGGCGCTGACTGGCCGGGCGGTGGAAAGGAGCAACACCGCGAGGCTGCAGCGTGGGGCTGCCCGCCGCCCGAGCTCACCTCACGTCCCGCATGTCCGGGGGGATCTGCACAAAGAGGCGTCCCAGCACTGGGACAGGGGCTTTGTCAATTAAATGCCGCACAAAAGCCACGTGCAGACATTTCGAACCGAGAACCCGAGGAGCTAGACTCTTCAGTTTAGAATCTGTTTTCGAGGCCTGGAAACAGAAACTGAATTTTAAAAAGTATAAGATTTGATGAAAAGAACACAATTTTTATTTGAAACCTTGGATAAACCAATCACGAACAAGGAGGATAGTTTTAAAGTTAATGTCAGTGGGATATAGTAGCGCACCCACTTTGGAGGCTGAGGCAGGAAGTTCAAGGTGAGTTTCAGGCCAGCCTGGGCTACATAGTGAGGTCAAGGTTGCCCTGAGCTGCATAGCAAGGCCCTGTCTCAAAAAAAAAAAAAAAAAAATTAATATTTACTTGTAATTGAAGATACAGTGGTAGAATGCATAAACAGATATTTTGAATTATGTACAAGTTACAAATCATTTTTTATTTCTAGTGTGACCTCCATAAGTTAGAGGACATGTAAGAAAAAACATTGAAATGCAATTGTGTAAATTTACATTTATAATTTAGATATAACTCTACCTTGTATGGAGTTAAATCTTTTTAAAAAAATTGTTCCTCCATAATCATCGGTTCTAGAGTATTTAAAATTTAGACTTTGAAATAGAAAGTTAACTCAGTGTTGTCATAATCTATTGTAATATTCTTAACAGCTTCGGTAATGGTTATCTCAACAGAAAGAGCCTTCTCTAAATAAAAATTATCAACATTTTTTGGTAAACTTACATTTGTAGAGTGGTTAACCTTACTTTTGATTATATTGATTTAAAATGAAATTGCTTGAAATATAAATTTTGATACCTTAATACATTTGTAAAAAGCAAACTAGAACTCTTATCAATCAAGATACCATGTTGGTAAAGTATTATTATTTATTGCATGAAAACTTATGGCACTAAAATCATTTTTGCAGTTTGTATGACCCCTAGTAGGCTCCATGAGTTGTAAAACATCTCAAAGGGAAAAAGGCTTATAATTTGGCACCTTTATCTGAATTTTCTCTCTGCTTTTTAGACAAAGGGCTTTGCAATTTAATTCTGCACTGGCCTTAGAAATGAAGTATCTGGTCCACGGTCTCTCCCTTCTGTCTACTTTTATTTTATTTATTTTTTTTTGTACCGGGGATCAAACTCAGGACCTTGCGCTTTCAAGGCAGGCAACAGCACCACTGAGCAAAATCCCCGGCCCCTGTCCAGTAATTTTACTATTATACAGGGGTGCCTCAGTTTACAAATGCTTTTATTTCTGAACAATTTGGTTTGCAAACAGAAGTGTTTGGCAAAATTTTGTTTTTGTTTGTGAATTCTGCATCTGGCGACGAACACAAATCTGGCCATCTTTCCCAGACTCGTGAAACGAATTAAGTTCTTGAACCGAGGCAGCACTGTACATCTGGCAGAAGGGCTTGAAGCCTAGAGACATCCTCTAATAGTCAAATAACTTTAATATAGGAAAGGAGAAATGAGAGGAAGAGGAATGGAGGGAGGGGAATGAAAGGGGTGTGGTAGAGGACAGATCTGTTGATTTGCTTATTTTTTATCTCTAGGGGCACCTGTTTCTCCATCCAAATGGGTGCAAACACAATGGAGCGGTGATCGGGCAACCCTGACATTTTCTCATCTCAACAAGGAAGATGAAGGCCTCTACATGATCTGCGTACGGATGGGAGAGTATTCTGAGCAATATGGTGCTTATGTCTTTGTCCGAGGTAAGACCCAGCAAACAGCAGAACACCCAGCCACATTTGAAACACTGAAGCCAAATTTACCTGCCCAGATGTGCTCTGCAGTGATGAAAGAGCCGTTTGAAATCTGGTCCAGATTACCTGAAATAGGAATATTCATTCCCAGGAAAACCAGACCTAATGTAAGAGGTGACCCTGGGAGACACTAGGACAGCAGAGTTTATTTCTGTCCGTCCCCGTCAGGCTAGAGGTTGGGGTGTCCAGCTGCTTCTGGGGCCCATAGCGCATCAGTGCAGGTAGCCAGTCACCTGTGTACCCAGCCAGATGAGCAAAGTCTTTGCCTCTGGTCTCAGTGGTCTTAGCTGAGCCAGAGAACGAATCTTCAGCAATTCTGAGAAACAGACTGAAGATTTGGTGCTTCCTCCTTGGGCTTTTTCAGGGAACCCCTGGCATGCTCTGGGGTTCCTCAGCATTTCTCAGTGCCACACCCAGAATTGTGCCTCTCTGCTAGGCATAGGGTGGACTTTACAGGGCTAATTGCAGATGAGGGGAAGGTGTCAACATTTGAGATTTTACTTAAACCAGTTCTCAAATCCATGGATTAGGAAAGTGGAAGGTTTCTAAAATTTATCAGCTGTTTCTGCAACTCTGGGAGGCTGAGGCAGGAGGATTAGAAATTTGAGCTCCACCTGAGCAACTTAGTGACTTAGTGAGACTGTCTTAAAATAAAGAATCAAAAGGGCTGGGAATATAGCTTAGTGTGAAGGTCCTGGGTTCAATCCCCAGATAGCTCTATTTCTATCTCTATCTTTATCATTTCTGTCTCTGTCTCTATCTCTGTCTCTGTCTCTATCTCAGATGCTGTATTAGTCAATTATGTCTCCTGTTGCTGAGACATAATACCCAACACCCACAATGTAAAGGAGAAGTTTGTTTGGCTCACGGTTGCAGAAGATTCAGTTCATGGGTGGCTGGCTCCAAGGGGGAAACATCCTGATACAAGGGTGTGGCATAACAAAGCTGCTTGGTTCATGGTGGCCAGGAGGCAGAGCAGGGAAGAGCATCGTAAAGGAAGAGGCGGGACCAGATACAGACCCCAACATCAGGCCTTCATGACCTGCCCAGACACACACAGAGTACTTTCCTCATTCCCAGGGTGGCTCCCAAGCTAATGCAGGTCACATTGTATCTTAACTGCCACAGATGCTGCTGTGAGAGAATTGAATAAATTGGAAAGAAATTTCACCAATTGCATTGTGAATTTAACAACTTTGAAGAGTTCACTTAAATTTTTATTATGATATATTTGAGGTTGTTTTAAAGCATCTTTATTGAAGATACATATCGTAAGATTCAATCATAGTAAGTGTATTCTTGTGTACTTTTCAGTGTATCTGCAGAGTTGTGCAACCAGGACTCACAATGCTTTTCTAGAGTTGGGTGGGGAGGAGTGAGGGGCTGCTGGGAATCGAACCCAGCTCCAAGTTTCACAGCATTTCCATCACCCTAATCTCGGGCTCATTTTCCATCCATCCATAGCCAGCTAGCCTCTGGCGACCACTGCTTTACTGTCTACAGAGATTTGTCTTTCTGGACATTCTTTTTGGATATGTGTGGTCTTTTGTGCCTGCCTTTTTTCATTTAGCATACTTTGAGGTTCACTTGTGTTTTTACTGCAAAATAACATTGCAGTGTGTGGCTGGGCTTCTTTTTGTCTAGACTGTCAACAGCTCATAGGCAGCTGGACGGTTTTCACTCTTGGATTAGAATAGATGATGTTGCTGTGAACATTCCTGCTCACATTTGTAGGCCTATGTTTTCATTCCCGGTGGGTACGTACCTACAAGTGGAATTGCTGGGTCATATGATACATGTATGCTTAACTTTTTAAGAAACTGCCAAAGTGTTTTATATGGCACTTAAAGTGTTTTTAAAACTTTGTATCCACTTTGTATCCACCAGAGCATTTTTTTTTAGAGCACTGATATTTTTGCTGCTTAGAAAATAGCTTCTGCACCAGAATGATCAGTGTATAAAGCACCATATGTCTGCAGAAACACATTGCAGAGCTATACACATTTGGCCAGGGCCTTGTTACGTAGATATTATGTAGTCATTGTGAAAATATAGATGATATAAATAAGCAAAAAAAATTTAAGGGAAAATCCATCCATAAGTCTACCACCCGAAGATATCCAGTGTTACTTGCCATTTCCTTGTGTACTATATTCTTCCCTGTCCCCCCCCACACACACACATACACTCAGAGAGAGACATAGAGACAAAGAAATGATAAAGTGGACAAAGAAGAATAGAATTTGTATTGGGAGAAACTAGAAAAAAATCTAGATATCTGCCAATATGAGAGTTGTAAAATAAAGTTTATTTATATACAAGAAATATTAAATATAAGTATATATTTTATATGAAGTGAAGTGTACAGGTGCTCCATATAAATAGTGGAATATTGCAGAGCAATGAAACTTAACGACATATACATATGAGATTGGTACATATATGGAAATATGTCGAGAAAAAAGTTTTCATAGTTTCCATTTTATTTTTCAAAATGATCACTTTGAGTTTATAAATGTAGGAGGGAAAATCTAGAAAGGCTTAGGCCAATATGTTAGTAGTAGTTATCTCTATGTTATAAAATGAAGAGTTAAACGTTTTTGTCATTTATTTTATAACCATGCATACTTTTTATAATGAAGACAACAGAATTACATCTTGAAAAAAGTGAATAGTAGCCTGTGTCAGAGGTCAGAATATAAAGAGTAGCAGGCTAACCTTTGATGTGACTAATTAAACCTACAAAAGTGAGGGTGCTTGGAGGGCGGGCGGAAGTCCCAGCGGCTGAGTGCTCACTGCGCCTGTGTGGGGCTGGGGGCGTGGCAGGCAGCCAGTCTGTCCCTTCCCCGCGCCTGCGTCCTTGTCATTCCGTGTTTTGTTCCCCGCGCTGTGTTGTACCTTCTTGGGATAAGGAACCATCCTTATTTTTTTAACTTTTGTGTTAGCACCTAAAAGAGTAACAAACAAACGAATGAATGAATGCACGAATGCATGCCTGGGCACCGTGGAAGGGGGCCGCCTACCCCATGGGTGGCGTGGTGCAGACAATGCTATAAAGATGCTGGCGGGCGGCCCATGACGCCTCCTGTCCACCGGGCCCCATGCACAGGTGCGCAGCTGCCCAGCTGACTGAGCCTCCCAAGGCTCAGGTTCCTCCCAAGGAACCGGAGGAGCCGTGGCTCTGCTGCCGGCCTTAACGGAGGACCCTGCAGAGCCTTGGAGTCGTTCAGCTCCTGCTGCCTGGCACATGAGGACCCCACCTTCAGAGTCAGGCACAGTGATTAGTTCCATCTTCCGAGAGTACATCTGCAGGAGAGATTTAGCCGGAGCCACTTCCCTTCTGGTTTGCGGGGCATGGAACAGAATGCGCAAGATCCCAGTAAGCTGAGTGTGGTCATCTGCACCTGTCATCCCTGGAGCACCTGGGAGGCTGAGGCAGGAGGACTGCAAGTTCAAGTCCTTCCAGGGCAACTTAGTGACTTAGCAAGACTATGTCTCAAAATTTTAAAAAATAAAAATAAAAAAGGAATGAGGAGGTAGCTCAGTGCAAAGGTTCACTTTCAGATTACTGGGGAAAAAACAGTAATGTTGGGCCAGGGATTTAGCTCAGTGGTGCCGTGCCTGCCTGGCAAGCGCAAGGTCCTGAGTTCAATCCCAGTACCAAAAACAAAAACAGTAATGTTGAGCTTTTCACAGTTACTGAAGCTATTTAATTCACACGTTGGCAAATATTTCTGCCATGTTATCTACCATCTGAGTGACCCATAAGCACTGCAGATGGGTAGATCATAAGGAAAGACAGTGTTTGTCTGGTCAGCAAGGGTGTTCTCCTGGAGACATGGCTTCCATGGGTCCCAGCCTCTCCCGCCAACCCCGAGTGTGAGGGCTTGGTCAGTCGCTGGGAGGAATTGGCAAATGGGAGCCCTCCCCTAGGGCCTTCTGCTCTTAAAAGGTGACTGACCGGTGTATTGAGTCCCCTTCCCCTCCTCCTGACAGCAGCCCTGATTCGCCCATTAGCTGTGCAGACCCCGTTCATAAACAGCCACTGGGCTCTGTCCTTTGTGTTAGCCCAGACTTTTCCTAACCACAGATAAACTAGGCTCAGACATGGCCCTGGCGTCAGGGTTCTTTTCCTAAGTGTCCTTGCCTTGGGGGTGGTATTTGGTTAAGCGGATGTTTCTTTTCTCCATCAAAATGGTAGTGCCCAGCCTAAGGATGAGCAAGGCTCCACGGTTCTCCCTCTTTGGACGCATCCAGAAGGTGGCAGAGGGGCTCTTTGTCCCCAGCAAGCCTCCATAGCTTGTTGCAGCATTGTACAGTCAGCACCTTACGAACAGACTCTCTGGCAGGTGACTTACCCGATAACAGTTACCAGCGTCTCCCTGCTCCTTTCACTTGGGAACATTCGGGGCAGCAAGGGCCAGGAGGCAAAAGTCCCCGGTCCTTCAGCACCCTTTCTCTTTTCTAACATAACGCTTTTCCCTCTGAAGGGGAAAAGCACACACTGTTATGTGGGCAAACAAGTCACAGGGTTCTAAGTTTGTTCAGTTGGGGTCGGAGACGTGCCCGCTGTGTGGCAAGACACGTGTGGGCCAAGGCCACAGCCCACCAGCCGGCAGAGCGAGACCCAGGGTAACCGCATACCCCGTGTCTCCACAGATGCGGACGCCGAGATCGAAGGCGCCCCCGCCGCACCCCTGGATGTGGAGAGCTTGGAAGCCAACAAAGACTACATCATCATCTCCTGGAAGCAGCCAGCTGTGGACGGCGGGAGCCCCGTCCTGGGCTACTTCATTGATAAGTTAGTGTCTGGTGCGCCTGCAACAAGAGAGTGGCGGCCGCAGACACGCATGCCCGACTCCTCATCACTCTTTTGTCTCTGCACACACGCACACTTCCATACATCCACCCAGACATTCACATCTGTCCGCCTGCCTGTCTGTTTACCCAAATTCCAAGGGTAAATCCGTCACTCTGTACAGTAGGTTTGCACCAAGGTGGGTTAAACCTCGTATTTATAACCCTAGGTAAAGGTGTGCCCGTTGGCTCAACCCCCTCTACAGGAGTATTTCCTGCAAACTTCATACAACTTAACTGTATGCACGCAGTGCTGTGGAAGCATCGTTTAGTGAAGGCCAGTTGTGAAGGTTTACAGATCTTTTTCATACTCACAGAGTCTGGCCTGTGGGCTTTGGCAGATTTCCAAGGGATTTGTGAGCTCTGATGGGTGATAGATTCCTGGGGAATCTCTCTGCCTGTCATCAGTCTCACCTGTTAAAGAAGCAAACATGCTACAGCCCCCTCTTAGCCCTTCCAGCCACGCAGAATGTAGTGACCACGAAGCAAGAAAATATAGCGAGCTGCTGTCCAGACTACATTGTAGACCTTTCAGGGGGCCAAACTTTCAACAGTGCTGCCACTTTAGAAAGAAAATGCCTAAGGAAGACAAAGAAAGAAATCCCCAATGGTAGATGAAAGGCATCAGATGTGGGGTTGGAAGAATCCTCCCCCAAGCCTCTCCCACGGGAAGAGTTGGGAGTCACCTTCCTGCTTTCTCTTCTCCCTCAAATGCCTTTGCTTAGCACATGGGAGCCTCGGCTGCCTGCTTGCAAATTCAGGACGGATCTGAGGATTCTTCTTGTTCAGAAAGACTTGCTGCATCTTGTGGAATTGGGCGCCTGCTGTTTGGGAACTAGGAAGGCTGCCTGTGCCAGGCGTTGGAGCTACTAATGCAGCCATGCGTGTGTAACACTCCTGTCCCTCGCTCTTTCCCTTAGGTGTGAGGTGGGCACGGATAGCTGGTCTCAGTGCAATGACACGCCTGTGAAGTTCGCTCGTTTTCCGGTCACTGGATTAATAGAGGGCCGTTCCTACATATTCCGGGTTCGAGCTGTGAATAAAAATGGAATAGGCCTACCCTCGCGAGTTTCCGAGCCTGTGGCTGCTCTGGATCCAGCAGAGAAAGCTAGACTTAAAAGTAAGCACTTTCTATTTTTTGGCATCCTCTCTTGTACTTTTTTACCTTTTAAAAATAACTGTGCTACACACCTGTGATCCCAGTACTCTGGGATGCTGAGTCAGGAAGATCTCAAGTTTGAGCCCAGCCTGGGCAATTTAGCAAGTTAGTGAGACCTTGTCTTAAAGTAACAAAGGTCTGAGGGTGTAGCTCAGTGCAAAAGCTCTGCATTCAATCCCTAGCATGGCAAAAACTAAATTAAATGAAATAAACTAAAATAAATGCAATGAACTTCATTGCAAGGTTATCCCTCTCCCTTCCACTAGAGGGACATGAGAATAAGGAAATCCTGGGGAAGGGTTTTCCTTGGTTTTCTTGCCTATCCGGTCTCTTCAAGGCTTTGTGTAATCTTACTTTATTCCATCTTATTTTTTATCTTACTCAGAAAAGTTTGCCTTGTTAATCTGGGTTACAGGCGCTCTGTGTGGTGGGAAATATGAAAACAAATAGCCCGGAGAGCATTCTTATTCACATTAGCAGTACATTCCAAATATGCTTCTGGCTCAAAGTGTGTCTCTTGACTTTGAAATCTACTCCTAGAGCATTCATGTCTCCATACTGGGAGTTTCTTTCTATCAACAGAAAAGCAGGTTTACATTATATCTGATCTGAATTTGAGTTTCCACATTAGACAATTTAAAATAATCTTTTCCTGTACTGAGTTTCCAAGTCTTAAATCAAGACCATGAATGATGCCTTGGATTTGTTTCCTGGAACCTGTTGGCATCCCCACTAATAGGCGCCATGCAATGACATTACAGGAGTTTCAGGACGGTGACATTTCAGTCTGTACCAGCTCTCCACCTTGACCCTGATGGACGTTAGGCCAGTAGGTCTTTGCTTGGGGACGGGGGCTGTCCTGTGTGTCATAGGGTGCTTTTGTCCTTGCATCTACCACCTGGTGCCAGCAGCCTCACTCCCTCTTTGTGACCATCATAAATGTCCCCAGACACTGCCAATATCCTCCCAGGTGGGGCAGAGTTACCCTAGTGGAGGATGACAGGCCTCTGCTGTCTTTACAGGGTTGTTCTTGACCTCATTGTACCCAGTAGCCACCCTAGAATCTAAGCACGATAATTCACTTTTCCCAGAACCCAGGTCCAGTCAGCTCCTTGGTTCTTCTTGGATCACTTTCCACCAACCGTCCCGTTCCTTTCCCTCTTCCCCAAAGTCACAGGCCCCACTCAGCTTCCGTTTACTGCTCTCTTACAAATCCAAGCACTGTACAATTTGTTGGAATTGGAAATAAATGATCTTCCTTACCATCTTCCCGCTTTTGCACAAACACTTGTGAAAAGTCCTTGATTAAAGCAGAAGTTGAAGCGTTCTCCTTCTGGCGTTGATGGATCAGGATGAATTTCCTCTTTGGCTGTAGACCTGTCTCTTCCATTTTTCTTACTCCAGATCTCAACTGACTTCCCCGGTAGATAACACTTTGCAAGAATAGAAAGAGGAAGAATTGCTTTTGCTGAGCTTTACTGCAGGATCAGTGGCCTCCTGTCTTTCATCTTCATGGTGACAGATAACAACATGGGGCTCATCATTCTCTAGAGTGGTTCCCCCAGACACATGCAGTCTCTTAGGAAGGGCCAGGAAAGCCTTCGTGTCTCAGGAGGCCCCTACTAAGCCATCATGTGCACACAGGTATGTGACAAGCTCAGCTGGCTCTCAGTCCTGACAGATTCTAGGCCCTGCAGACTTCCGGTCCCTTGAAGATGGGGCCATGTCCCCCACAACGTGTCCTCCTGATACTGTGCACTAGGAAAATATCCAAGTGAGCTAGGAACAAACCCATCTGTGACTAATCCAGCCAGTGTGTCAGTTTACCAGTGCAGCTGAAAACGCCCTTGTGGACATCTGTGATTTTATATTCATCTCCGTTCAGGTCGCCCGTCAGCACCCTGGACAGGACAGATCATTGTCACGGAAGAGGAGCCCTCAGGTAAGAACTCTGCTTTCCCCAGATGCTACTGCTGGTGAGTGCACGGTATTTAAGACGTCTGGAACTGCACATGTTGGGCGTAGCGTGGAGCACTCCTCTACCCCAAGCTGCCCCCCCGCCAGCCCCAAGCATCGTATTTTATTATTGACGCTTTCTGGAGGGGCAATTGTCACACAATAACCTGCAGATATGTAAAATGTACACTTTGATACGTTTTACCTGTGTATACACCCATGAAGCCCTGGCCGTGATCAGAAAAACGAGATACCCACCAGCCCTGATGTTCCTCTTGCCCCCTTGCAGTTCCTCCTTCTCACTACACCCAGATCCCCAGCCCTCGCTCATCTGCTTTCTGTCACTACAGCTTGCGCTGCTGAAGATTTTGGATAAATGGACTCACACTCATCTTTGCCTGGTTCCTGTCACTCAATAGCATAATTATCCTGAGATTCATCTGCATCCCACCGGCACTATATGAGTGTCCCAGTTGTTTCTCATTGCCACTAGTGTCTGGTGTGTTCACCCTTTTTAACTTCAGCTACTCTCGTGGGTCGATAGTATTTTGCATGGTTTGGATTTGCATTTCCCTAATACCATTGGGTACCTTTTTATGTGCTTACTCTTTTTGTGCCATTTAACATCTTTGTCATAATTGGGTATTTTTACTATTTTTTTTCTGGAAATGTTACACTATTAGGAGTGGTTGGGGCTGGGGATTTAGCTCAGTGGCACCTCGCCTGCCTTGCAAGCACAAGGTCCTGAGTTCAATCCCCAGTACCAAAAACAAAACAAAACAAAACAAAAAGCAATATTAGGAGTGGTAAAACTAGAGATTTTTGCCTTTTTCTGATCTCAACGAAAAAGCGCTTGGTCTTTCACCATCAAATCTAGCATTGTGGGTAGAATTTTTTCTTTTTTGAAACAGGGTCTCACTGGCCTTGAACTCACTATGTAGTCCAGGCTGGCCTCAAACTCATGGCAATCCTCCTGCCTCAGCCTCCTGAATGCTGGGATCACAGGTGTGTACCACCACGCCCAGCTCGGGAGGGTTTTTATAGACATCATTTATCAGGTAGAGGAAAGTCTTCTAGTGCTAGTTTGCTGAGATGTATATCATGAATCGATATCAGATTTTGTTAAATGCCTTTTCTGCATGTATTGAGATTGGATGATATTTCCTTTTCCACTAACCTGGTGAATTATACTAATATGATTTTAGATTATTAAACAACCTTGTATTCCTAGGGTGAACCCTACTTAGTCACACCATATTATTCTTTTTCTATATTGTTGGATTTTATTTTCTAAAAATTTTAAGGAATTTTGCAACCGTTATATGTTATCCTTTTTGCATATTGTTGTTTGTTAAGCTTTTCTTAGAAATTTTTGTGTCTCTGTTCCTTTAGAGCAATCTCATTTAGATATGTTCATTTAGATATTTTAATTGACCACTTTATTATTGTAACGTGACTTCTTGTACCCCATCGTAATGTTTTTCTGCTTAGAAATCTGCTTTGACTTTAATATAGTTCTTCCTCCTTTGGTTTGATTAGTGTTAACATGGCATACTCTTTCATCTTTTTATTTCTTGCCTATATTTGTCTTTGCATTTAAACTGTCCTTCTTGTAAGCAGCATATAGTTGGTTTTGGATTTCTGATCCAGTTTGACAGTCTTTGGTTTTTAATTGAGATGTTTTAACCACTTACATTTCTGTGATTTTCATGTGGTTGGACTTAAATCTACTATGTTATTATTTATTTCTGTCTATTCTGTCTATTCGTTTCCTTTTTCCTGTTTTTCTACTTTTTAAAGATTGAGTACATTTTATTATTCTGTTGATTTGTGTTATGCCACTGACAGAATTTTTTTCGCACTTCAGTGCTTTAGAATTGACTGTACAATCTTTTCAGCCCACTTTGCAGTAGCGCTCTATTAACTCATTAGCAGTGTCCGAACTTACCAGTGGTGTTCCTCTCCCTCCTAGCCTCGAGGGCATCACTGTCCTACAGTTCATTCAGATGCACACACATAAACCTGCAGGATGTAATCACCATTATTATGTTGACTTTAATGTCGTTATGCTCTCTTGCAAAGAGATTTTTTACTGTTTTTTCCCTTTCATTATTTTTATAGATCCAGATTTCTATCTGATAATATTTTCTTTCCCCTTGAAGCACTCTCTTTAACTGTCTTGCAGTGCAGGTCTACTGGTTGTGAATTATTTTATGTATTATATGTCTGGAACAGTTTCTATTTCACTTTCAGTTTTTAAATATACCATCACTGAATACAGAATTCTAGATGATGCTATTCTTTCAATAGTTCCAAGAGCGTGGCCCGTTGGGGTACAGATCCTCATTATAAGAATTACTATTTCATTCTTATTTTTGTTGCTAGGTGTGCAATGTGTCTTTCTTTCTGTATCTGCTTCTAAGATATTCTCTTTATCACTTTTTTAAAAAAATTTGACTATGATGCGCATGTGTCTCATGTGTTTAGGGCCAACAGATTTCTCAGCTCTGTGAGTTTATGATTGTCATTAGATCTGCAAACTTTTCACGATTATTTCTTTAAATAGTTTCTCCTGTGCGCCTTTCTGTCTTCTCTGCTTCAGGAAATCCCCTTATGTGCCACTGAAACCACTTGAAACTGTCGCTCAGCTCACTGGTGCTGTGTCCATTCAATGCTCAGCCTCTCCAGTATATGGAACACATTTATAGCTGTTTTGGGGCCTTTGTGTACTAATTTTATTTAGCAACTGACAGATGATACAAATTCTATCATCAGTGACATTTCTGGTTTTGTTTCTCCTGATTGATTTGCTCCCCTCATTATAGGTTAATTTTCTTGCTTCCTTGCACACTTGGTAATTTTTATTTGATGCCAGACACTTTGAGATTACATGGTTTGGTATTGAATATTTTCATATTTCTAGAAATACCCTTCAGCTTTATTCTGAGAAAACAGTTTAATCTTTTTAATGTTTGCCTTTGTTAGGCGGCAGGGAATGAGTAGGGAGAGACTCATGGGGATGGGCCCTTATGGATATTTTATGACTTACGGGTCTTTTAGTCAGTTTTCCCATTTTTGGGACAAATTACCTGATACAACCTTTTTTTTTTGTACTGGGGATTGAACTCGGTACCTTGCGCTTTCGAGGTACGCAGTGGCACCACTGAGCTAAATCCCCGGCCCCACCTGATACAACTGTGAGGAGAAAAGGATTATTTAGTTCACAGATTCAGAGAATGCGCTCCATGGTCATCTGGGTTGGTTTGTGGTGGGCAGGAAGCAGAGAGCGGGGGACAGTGCCAGAGAGGAGGGGCCAGGGCTGAGATGCAGTCCCCAGGGTCAGCCCTGACTTGTCCAGACATACCCAGAAGTGTGCTTTACTGATCCCTCTGCACTTTAACCCAGTTAAATTGATGTATCACAGTTAATGGTCACATTTTCCCTCAGGCATCCTCACAGGAGTTATGGATTGGCTAGTTTAAAAATGAAATATGCAGGAAGAATTTATTTACAATCCTGTCAGGCTCAAAAATAAATGCCAAAGGCAGCAACTGCTCTTATCAGGCAGGAAGTGAGGGCCTAGAAATACACAGATGCCAGGGGTCAAGGTCAACTAAATGGCTCAAGGTTGGAGGAAACAGAAATATAAACTCCATTGAAATTAGAAAGCACACAACAGAGTCAGGAGAATATGCTGCAAGTGCCAGGCAGTGAAGAAATGACAAGTATTTGCTGTGTCCAGGAAGCTTGGTGTGTTTTCCTACTAAGAGGGAGCTGAATGGAGGGACAGAGCAGGAGAGAACCGCACTATGCCACGCCGGGAGACCTCCAGGCAGAGGTAACCCGTAGCTCCTGAGGGCTCTTGCCTTGGTGTGACCTTCCCCGTGTCCTTTAGACACGTGCACACCCTGCTCTGTGCCGTTTGGCTTCTCCTTTCATGGACTCAACCACACACAGTTCAAAGCCAAGGACAGTGTCCGGCTCCCTAGCTCTGTCTGTAAACGCTCAGGGGCACTAGACACGCAAGCTACTGTGCACTGCAGAGCCGGGCCCCTTCCTCCTGAGGAGAGATGCGGAATGGCCTACCAGGAATGTGTGTCCCTAACTTTCCCTCATTGTTTTTCAGCGGGCATTGTCCCCGGGCCCCCCACAGACCTCTCTGTCACTGAAGCCACCCGGAGCTACGTGGTCCTGAGCTGGAAGCCCCCTGGCCAGCGTGGCCATGAGGGCATTATGTACTTTGTGGAGAAGGTAAGGCTCCAGAGTCACTGTCACCTCAGCCAGTTCCCAAAGACTTCTTTTATAAAGTTGAGGCTAAATTTCTGGGGACAGTGGAGCGAGGGAGCAGGGAGCAAAGATGTCCCAACACTTTGCATTCTTACAAACTGTGAGCTCTCTCCGTAGGGAGCTTTGTACATCACCCAGAACTGTGCCTGCAGGTTCAGGGGGCTTATGGGTTCCTGAGACTCACCAAAGCCCCCCAAGAGGGCCACAGACCCCAAATTGCAACCCCTGTCAGAGGAGAAAGAGACCTGAGACTGTAGACTGCCTGGTTGACAGTGTTTCCTAGAGATGTTCTCTGTCTCCCAGCTCTGTTGGTGGCTTTGTATCTCCCTACCCTCACCCTTGTGTGGGAGGCAGTGGCTGTCAGCAGGGGCAGCGAGAGGAGAAGGTGACGACAGCAGGGAGAGGTGAAGGCAGCAACCCCTCGGCTGCCCTGTGTCCAGGCGGGACAGCGGGGTCAGGGGTGGCAAAACGGCCTGAGATACTGGCAGTTCTTTCCTCCAGTAGCTTACAAAGTAAGGGGCATCGGAACATCAGAGGGGCCGCACATGGAGTGGAATGGGTAGGGATGGAAGGTGGATAGTCCAGGGGAGCCCTGAAAAGCACTGGTGCTGTCAGGTGGGAAGGAGCCGGAGCCTGGCCAGGAGGTTGCTGGGGATGCAGATCCAGCTGCTGCATGGAAACATGAGAGCCCAAGGCACAGGTCAGGGCCACAGAAGCCCTGCTTCCTGGAAAAGGATCTGCTCAAGATGAGGCTCCGAGTCTGTTCGCTAAGCAAGCTGTGACTGGAGCACATGGGCTGTAGCTCATCTTCCTTGACAATTATTGCCAGAGAATAAATTTCTTAGGTCTAGCAGTGCATGCCAACATCTGCCATGTAACAACATAAAACAAGATGCAGAGTTCTTTATGGCCTTTTATTTTTTTCAAATCAGTGGTTCTTGAGAAGATTATAGCAGAGCTAAAAGCCTAGGCAGGGTGATTTCCCTCAGTTCACTGTTTTTGCTTTGCGGTGGGCAGTTGGCTCCACCTCTGAGCTGCACACCTTGCTTCTTTCTTATCCCTGGCAAATTGGTGACAACACATCACCCCTTCCACGTGCGGTATGGACTTCTGCCAACAGTCTGGTTTTACCAAAATAATATTAAAAATTTATATTTTTTAGATATCAGCCACCAACTGTATCTTGAGTAGCATCCCGAGCTCTTTCTCTTGTTTTTAGAGGGCAAAACCAGAGAGAGAGAGAAACACTGGCTTCCTGGCGCGTGCAGCACACGCCCTGGTGCCTCCCTCGGAAAGACTCCCCGGAAAGAAGCTCTGAGTGACCCCAGAATAATTACCATCTCCCACAGCACCATGTTCGCTTCCGATGAGTCAAAGTCAGCTGCTGCTGAACATTCCCTCCGTCACGTCGGCTTTCGTTTTCCCATGAAGCCTGCAACGCCCAAAGCTACTAAGTTCCTATGAATTTCAGTTCCCATTCTAAATCCTCTCCAGCGGCCCCTTATGCTGATGGCTGGAAGGTGGTGGCAGGGTTGGGGCCCAGGCTGCTTGGGGCACAGTTTGCTCACTGAGCCCCAGGCCGCTGAGGCTCAGGGACCTGGGGCACCCGCAGAGCCATCCTCGTGCCAGGCACCCCGAGCTGGGTGTGAGATGTTTCTGGGAGGGCTTCTCACACAGGGAACAGCCCCTAACTCCTCCCTCGCTCGGGTCCTTCTGTCCCCAGTGTCGGTGCCTCCTCTGCTTAGCCTGTGCCCGCGCTTCTTTGAGGCCCTTGTCACCTGGGCTTGGTGTGCAGAGCATGAAGCTGCCTGCCAGTCCCACCACATCTTCGATCCCTAAACAGGTGGGATGGGGGCTCTTACAGGGATCAGAGGAGTCATCCTCTGCACACAGGCCTGTGGCTCCGCTGTGTCCTTCCAGCCCCGCGCCTGCCCCTCAGTGTCTCAGGTCTCCAGCTCTTTCCCTTCTTCCGCTGCAGACATCGGTCTTGCAGAAACACAGACTGCACCCCCGGCCCTTCCCATTATCCGCATGACCCGGGCGCTGACCCCCACGCTGCCCCACTTCATCACTGAAACAGCCCTGTGAGCTCCACACTGTTATTTCCATCATGCCTGTTTTGCAAGTGAGGGCACTGAAGCATTTCCAGGGCGCACAGTTCACCCAGGGTTGCCCAACAGGATTTGAAGGCGGCTAGGATTTGAATCTGGGCGCTCTGACCACAGGCTGAGCATTCCTAACCTGAAAGTGCTCGAAATGCTTCACATTTCAGACTTCTGGATTGGGGTGCTCCACAGGTAAAGACTGCAGATTTCCCAAAACCCCCAAATTCTGAATTCTGAGATCCTTCTGGTCCTGAGCATTTCGAGTAAGGAATGCTCAGCCTGTATTACACCAGGCTGCCTTCCACTCTTGCAAACCTGAATCCCCTCTGGCGACTTTCGTAGAGCAGTGGAGAGGGTTCCAGTTATAATGGTTTACAAAGTGCTCAACACAGGAAAAGACAGCTGTGATTTTTATCATGAGAGTGGAAGTGACCGATAACTGTGTAGGTATTCTCCCAGGGTAAAATAAGTCAAAATGAATCAAAGCTTTAACTCAGAAATTAAAGGTATGGGAGAATTTTGTCCCTCAGTAGGCAGCAGGTCCCACACACAATGACACATTATCATAAAAGACTGCACCAGACTTTAAGGGTTACCTTGTTAAAATGTACCCATTTTACAGATGATATACTGAGATCAAAAGTGTCAGTTTTCCAAGTTATTGACACAGCTGGGACCAAACCTTACATCTTGGGGTCCCTTCCACCATGCCATATCTTGGAGATATGTTAAGTCAGTGAAGGTGTTGCCAAGTGATATATTAGTAAACTTTTAAAAAATGAGTGTAGGTTTGCAGTACCTCCTAATTAGTTTGTTTGTTGGAATTGGTACATGTATATAACATTTCTGGATCATTTTCTAACCCTTTACCACCCTCCCTCAATATCCATCCCCATCCCCGTCCCCAAAACATGTCTTTTTTCCTATGATCTTTTCTTTATCTATTTTATGCCTTTATTTATATTTTAGGCTTTTCATATAAAGGAAACCATGTAGTATTTTAGTGTTTGTGTCTGACTTATTTTACTATACATAATGGTCTCAAATTGCATCCATTTTCCTGCAAATAACTTGATGTCTTTCTTCTTTATGGCTGAATAGTATTCTATTGAATATGTCTACCGCATTTTCTGTAGTCATTCATCTGTGATAGGCAGAGCTTATCTATTGTGAGCTATGCTGCTATCCACGGGGTACGCACAGATCAGTACACTATGATGCCTTCAGGAAGGTGCCCAGGAAAGGGCCAGCTGGGTCCAGGGGGTTCTGTTCGGGGTTCTGTGGAGCATCCCTTCCGATTTCCATCGCAGTTGTGCGTCACTCACAATGCAGACGGGCTCCTTTCCCACACATCCTTGCCAGCAGCGTTGTTCTGTGTGTCCTTGATGACAGCCCCTCCTCCCGAGTGGCAGTCGTGGGCCTGGGCTCTCAGTGGGTGTCACTGTTCTTTGCAGTGCGATGCGGGGACGGAAAACTGGCAGCGGGTGAACACGGAGCTCCCGGTGAAGTCTCCTCGCTTCGCGCTGTTTGATCTGGCGGAGGGCAAGTCCTACCGCTTCCGCGTGCGCTGCTCCAACTCGGCAGGGGTCGGCGAGCCCTCGGAGGCCACCGAGGCGACCATCGTGGGCGACAAACTTGGTGAGTGTGGTCGACAAACTTGGTGAGTGTGGCCGGGCTGAGCGGCTGTGAGCTTATTTACCACCAAGAACCGAATTATTATATACGTGTATATTCAGAGGCTAAAATGGTGACAGCCTTCTCTTACTAGAAGTCCGACAGCTGTGCTTGGCCTATATAAAATACGAAGTAGTCTCTCTAGTGTGAGAAACTGAAAGTGTGAATAAGGATTAAAATGATTAAAAGGAATAATTGATCATTTGAAATAGGAAGAAAAGGTCCAAAGGGGTAGGGGAAGTGGGAGGGGAAGGGGAAAGGGAAGGAAAGGAGGGAAAGCAAAAATTATCAGAAAAGGAAAAAATGGAAACAAAGTCTGTGTAAATAGGGAAGGGTGCACAGGGAATGGGGAAAAAATAAGAACCAAGATACATCCTGTACAGGTACAAGTACCCAATGATAAATGTAAATGTGTTGCATACCTAAAATGTACCAATAAAAGAATTTAAGCAAAAAAAAAATATTTTTGCTCACAGACAGTAAACTTCCCCAGGAGTTTCAACCGCTGGTGTGTGTGTGTGTGTGTTCCGAAATTCACAGATATCTGGTTTATCATTATGCTCTCACACTAACATTTAAATTTTTTCCTGCTTTAACAAATACATTATAAAATAAAACAACTGTATGTTGACATGATTGTTTGCATAACATTTCTGCGTGTGTTGGTGCATACATGATGGGATGATTTTTTTAAAGCTACCCGTCACCATTTTCTTCTCCACCCAGATATCCCCCAGGCCCCTGGCAAAGTCGTCCCAAGCAGGAATACAGACACCTCCGTGGTGCTTTCTTGGGAGGAGTCCAAAGACGCCAAGGAGCTGGTGGGGTACTACATCGAAGCCAGCGTGGTGGGCTCCGGCATGTGGGAACCCTGCAACAACAACCCTGTGAAGGGCACACGGTAACCCAGCTGGGGGTCCCGGGGTGGCGCACACACGTGTGCGCGCACACACACGCATGTACATTATGTATCCAAATGAGTTTCAAACTGAACGTGTAGAATGCAGTACATTTCAGGAAGAGAAGCTCTACTTGTCAATGCTTAGGAACAAAAACTGGCAACGTTCCTATGGGTCGTTTTCTAGGTCTTTTGTGATTCTATTCCTTTCTGCTATTTCTTCCTTTCTTGTTCCTCTGTTCTGGTCTTTAATATGCAATGCGGTGCTAGACCCTAAAGATCTAATAAGTTCTACCTAATACAAATGCCCAGGCATTTGAAATGGACAAAAACCACAGCATCAACCTTTTATAAATTCTGAACATTAACACAATTACGCCTAATGCTGGGCAGGTGTAAAACAACACTAAAACAAAGACTTTCCAGATACTTTGTCACGTCACTGTCTCTGTTTTTAATGTGGGGAATGTTACATTCTTTTCTTGCTTTTAACTGTTGTCTCAGCTGGCCTTGCAAACTGGAGGTGAGCTCTGTACCAGACAGTGAGCCTTCTTCAGGGGACCTGTCTGAGAGGGCGCCCTGAAACTGCCCAACAGGCTTGTTAGGCCTCTTCTAGGAATGAGGATCCCCTCAGGGAGAGTTAGTTCTTTGGCAGAACATGAGAGGATAGAGAACAGCCGACCCGTGGGGGAAGACAGTGTGTATCAGAAGAGATTCATTTCTTACAACAGAACGTCTGCTTGTACATCTCCTTTCTGCTCTGAATCCTCCTGTTTGTTCCTGGTGCTATTTAGAAGCAGTGCTTCGAGTAGCAGACCCTGCCTTTCTACAGACGGGAGCTGTGAAAGCGCAGGCACCATGTGTATTCATCTCTGAATCCCCAACGCTTAGCTCAGTGTCTTGAACACTGAAGTGCTCAGTAATTACTCACTGAGCCGAGCTAACCCTAAGGACTGAAAGAGCGGCCTAGATCATGGCTTCCCCTACTAAATATCTGGACAAGCTGATAGTGACAGAGGCATCAGCAGGTCTGCATTTCCTGGTAACTGTCCTGGAGAAGGGTCTGAATGTTACGGAGATTCATGAAGCAGCTCTTTGTAGCCCTAGAGCTATTCAAGGGTGAGGTTGGTTTGTGTGTGACATTGCCCTGGATTCTCGCCTCATGATTGGATCCTTATATCCAAATAGCCATCTGGGAAACCAGTTTTCATACTATTTTCGGCTGCCAGTGTAATTTCTCAATTAACTGAGGCTCCCCTGGTGCTCAGAGAGGTAGTACTCGGCAATCTCTGATGGGGTGGACAGGGCCTGTGGTCATGCATGTCCACCGAAGTAGCCAGTAAGGATAGTGTTAATGTCACCTGTGACTTACTAGGGGCGTCACATACCCCAGACCCTGCAGTGCTATTGAATATACTTCATGCACAGTCTGGAGATGAAAATTACTATGTAGGTATTATTATCCTTGTCATCCAGATGAACATCTAGCGAAACCAGGACTCCTCGTTTTCTGACAGAGTTTTAAAAATTGCACAATTGCCTTCCTGTCTAAAATGCACTTGCTACCTAAATCACTTTACGTCTTTTTCTTCCTTTTGATAAATGAATCAGTTTCAGTGTCCAGCTAGGCTAACAACCATCTCCCCTAAACTTCCTCCTGGGAGAGACTCTTGAAACATTCCCCCCTGTTTAGGTTTACGTGCCACGGCTTGACGACCGGTCAGAGTTACATTTTCCGGGTCAGAGCAGTGAACGCAGCTGGACTTAGTGACTATTCCCAGGACTCAGAAGCTATCCAAGTCAAAGCTGCCATTGGTAAGTTCCTTACACACAACCTGGCCAGGGAAAAGTGAATGTTTCTCAGTTAGAAAGGAAGATGCCACCATCGGCCCCAGAAACTGTTTGATGCTTCTCGTGTTGTTCCGTGAGGCCACCCTTGGATGACCATCTTCTCTGGCTGGAGGTGACACGTAACCTTCCACAACTGTCATTCTGCAGATCATCACTCATCCAGATTCCGCACATCTGTAACCCTGCAGCTTCCCCTTCCAAGCCTCTCAGATACTCCCATTATGTGACTCTGCACCCTAACTCTGTGCTCAGCCGGGGGGACCTAAAGGGCCATCCCGATTCCGTGACATGGCAGTGCACCATGACACGGACCACCTGTAGCTACAAGCCATTCATCTACAGCACGCTTGGCTTGTTTCACTAACAGCATATTAACCTGTTTTTCGTACCTCCCTCTAACATCCATGCAGGCTGCCTATGCTTGCTTACTCATATGTTTCATCCCTGCTTGCAAAGTAACAACAGTAATAAATAATTATATTTATGTGCATGATGTGCCTCCCAGTCTTGGATAAAATAGGGAGGGAATCCAGGTAGTTCAGAGCATCAAAAATTAAATTAGTGGTCTGCTACCATGTTAGGGAAAGAGGTGGGCTGGGTGCACAGCTCAGTGGCAGAGCACAGGCTTAGTGTGTGGGAGACCCTGGGTTTGGTCCCTGGCACAAAAAAGGAAGAGAGAGACAGACACAGAGAGGAAGGAGGAAAGGAAGAAAAGAAAGGAGAGGAGGAGCGAAGAGGGAGAGAGGAGGAAGGCGTGGGTGGGAGGGAGTAGTTAGCACCTTGTTACTGTCTCACCTCCCTTGCGGTAAGGACAGTCGTGGACCCGTCTCTGCGGTTGGGAGGAACAGATGAGGACGGCTGTGGTAGTGAACTGAATTCCGTTATATACAATCAGGATCTTTGATGTCATGTCTCTTGTGTGCTTTATGTTTCTTTTGCCAATTCTGTTGAATAATAGAGCTTATTTCACTCAAGGAATGTCTGAGATTTGTTTCTTCGTGGTGAACTAAAAACCCTTTGGGTTCTACAAATACAAGTGGTTCCTGTTCTGACTGTGGCTTTCTGTTCTCCCTTCTGCTTTTTCCAGAACATGGGGAAGTCGAAATGTTCCCTGGTGTGAACTATGGGAAGCGTATGTTTCCCCGTTTCTTACAGATCCAGCAGCCCCGCTGAGGCAGGACTGCTCTGGCCCTGCCTGCTGTCCCGTGTTTTCTCTCTCCTGTCCCCAGAGCACTGTGTGTGTGGCTCATGCGTCTCTGTTGTCTGGCGATTGTAGGGGGCGCAGCGTCTCCAGATGTGTGGCCCGACCTGCCCGCTGCTCCCGGTGGACTAACAGCCTCCCGGGGGGCTGCGCATGGAGCCTCCCCGAAAAGCTGTCTGAGAGATGCTTTGCCAGGTAGCAAACTTAACAAACCTGCACTGCCCAGCGCCCCTCACGACCTGGCCCGCACAGAAGCGAGTAAAGTAAGTGAGACAGTTGAGGAGGAGCCCACCCCAGCGCCCCGGAAGGCGGCTCCCAAGGGCCAGAGTGAGTCTGAGCCCCTGGAAAAGAAGAAGGACGCAGTAGGTGAGAGGCGGGAAAGTCCAGCTCTTCACTGTCCCCATCCGTGTCTTCACCCTCATCGTCCCGATCTCTCTCCTCACTGTGTTCGCCTTCATCCGTGTCGGTTCTGAATTTTCGTGTCCTCAGCTCCCCGTTCCAAATATTCTCATCTAGTGGGTGCCCACGTACCTGTCTATGGGTTTGGCTTTCACACATTATTCCCGGGCTGAACCACGATGGGACGCTGAGAGGAACCGGGGTGCAGGGGCCTCTTCGGCCTTTGTGGTTCCCAGGCAGACCCCGATGGCCTCGCTTGGCTGAGACGTGAGGTGGGAAGGATGCAGTCCCCGGGGCTTTGTGAGGCTCCTGGAAATGCTGTGCTCGGTACAGGGAGGAGCAGGGTCTCACCCAGAGGTGACGCTGTGTGGGGCACAGCCACAGCCTTGCATTGCTCAGCCTCGGGTTTGAAGTGTTTTCCACATTTCATTCAAATCGCTGTCTTCCTGAGTCCGCACGAACAGGGCACGATAGTCACCCGGAGCTGTGTTCTGTGACGTGCAGCCCACACTCCCAGCACTGATTCGCTTACGATTATCCTCGGTAAGCCAAGAATGCTGAATGGGAGACTCCACACTCATGGCTTATGCTGTCCAGTGTTTTTCTTACCAAGTAAAAACGAAAGATGGGCATTTGCTGATAAGATTGTAAATGCCTCGTGTCCCTCCCACCCCACCTCATCCCAACTTCTGTGTCTGCCTCTGTTTAGAGCCTTTCTCCCTTCAACTCAAGATGAAACTGATATTCAGACAGCCCATATCAGCAAGTGCTCTGAACGAGGAAGACAGAGGGAAAGGCTTTTTTTTCCTAAGGCAGAGAATGAAGTAGGTTGGTGAGTGAGGAAGAAACAAATGCATTTTATTTTTAAAACTTTTTATTATTCTGAGCTTCTTTGGGAATAAGGATGAGAATTTCTTTATTTCTTAATCCAAATAAATATTCAGAAAATTCTTTTCAATATCTTTGCATACAGATTTCTTTCCATCACCCTATCCTTTCTTTTGAAAACTGTAATTTCAGTAGTTGAATGAAAATTTGATCAGCAAAGCCACATAAATGTAGGGCTTTTGAAGTATCTTTCCAAGTATTTTTCTAGCTCAGCACTAATAAATGCAGTGGCAGGTGTGTAGTATTTTGCACTACAGGAATAACATCCAACATCACCCTAAGCATAATGTGACAGAAGTACTATAAACCACGAGGAAGTCACATGGGACATTGTGGTTGATTTTTAATCTTTTTTAAAGGTAGCATTTAGCAGAGCTCCAGAATAAGATTTTTCCTGAGTATAGTCAGAACACAGGTAATCATAAAGTCTTTCGAGGGTAAGTGTACCTGGATGGTGAGACGCTAGTAACCATTTGGAAATATATGGAAATTCCAAATAAGTGGTGGAGACAGAGGTTGATACACACATTCCATTTTCCTCAGGAAGCAGATAAAAAGAAAACCACGTGAAGAAACCAAATAGGAGCTTTGGGAAAATATTTCTTCTTATGGGGGAAAAAAAACATTTTCCAGGATATTGTACCATTTGGGGGGCCAGGTTTTTTTTTTTTTAATCTTTACAGTAATAATTACAGCACACATTTTAACCATGTGTTCATTTTTTTTCTCATATACCAAGCAGAAGGCCGAATTACTGGTAAATCTCATGATTTCATTTCCTGCTGTATGATCTAGTGCCCTTGTGGCTGGTACCAGTCACTCAGGTTTGATACGTGCAGACTCATGGATGCTTTCTCTCTCACTCTCCATCTGTCCATATTGTGACAGCGGCACCGTCTCCACCCTGTGACATCACTTGCCTTGAAAGCTTTCGTGACTCCATGGTTCTCGGATGGAAGCAACCAGATAAGAGCGGAGGGGCAGAGATCACCGGCTATTACGTGAACTACCGGGAGGTAACCGATGGGGTGCCGGGCCCGTGGAGAGAAGCCAACGTCAAGGCAGTCAGTGAGGAGGCCTACAAGGTGAGCAGGGGCGTTCTGGCACGAGCAGCCCATGGGCCAGTGTGTGTGGCAAAGCACCCGCAAAGGCTCCGTGTCCCTCTCAGGTCCCTGGTCTGCGTTGGAGTAACTTTTGTGAAAAGTACACGTTGATAAATGCAAGTAGTTCTGCTCACCAGGCAGGGTTTATATTTTCTGATTCATACGCACAGCATGATTCCCTAGAATACTGCCTGTAAAACACACACTTTGAAAAGTAACATTTCTTACAAAATATCTATACACAACATGCCACTGGCTCCACGGTCCCAGGGTCCAAATGACTCTGGGTCTTAACAGTGTTCAAATCACAATGGACGAAGGGGCCCAGTCTTCCCCCGTGACACATTCTGCCTAGTAGGGCTCTGATGGGCACAAGGGACAGCTTCAAAAGTGTCCCCTCCTCCTGGGTCCTGCCACTCAGCCCCTTTCAGGGCATCCATCAAAGGCCTTGCTGCAGGCACAGCTGGCTTCCTCTTTAGAGCATGCTCAGCTAGGCCCAAATCATCACCTCCCAACACTTGCAAAACCCCAACCCAGGAGGGTTCCGAGTAGGGCAAGGCCAGGGATTCAGTGCCACAGTCTTTTGATTTAACACTTGAAATTTGTGAAATGTCATACAGACCAGGAGTGTGTAACATAAAATTGTATCTGTAAAATTATTCCACATTGGCGTGTACAGCTGTAGCTTTTTTTTTTTTTTTGGTACCAGGGATCGAACTCAGGACCTTGCACTTGTGAGGCAGGTGCAGTGCCACTGAGCTAAATCCCAGCCCTATAGCTCATTTTGTATCACCATACAGTACCCCCGAGCATGACTGTGTCACAGTGTACTCTTCATTCCATTATTGACAGCTAAGTGGGCCTTTTTGTACTTTTAGCCACACCAAAGAATGTAGCAGTGAACACTTCCGTACACAACTGCAAGCACATGTACACACCAGTTTCTCCAGGTTCTTACTGGTCAGAGGGTCTGCTTATCTTCCATTTTACAAAGTGATCCTGCACTCTTTCTTGAAGGGCTTAGAATCCCCATTGCTCTGCTGCCTGGTGACTCTTGGCATATGTACCCATTCTTGGATTTGACTGTCTGGGTGCAAATGAGTCCCAACATCTTTGCCTGCAGATTGTTCATTTTGAGATCCTCTTTTACAACTTTCCTGCTTAAGAGTTTTGCCTATTTTTCTAATGGCTTACTAATTGTAAGATATGATGAAAACACAATTTTCATTTGAAACCTTGGGTGAACCAATTATGAATGAGGAGGAGAGTTTTAAAGTTAATTTTAGCAGGGCATGGTGCCAGAGGCCTGGAATCCCAGTACTAAGGAGGCAGAGGCAAGAGGACCACCATGAGTTCCAGGCCAACTTGGGCTACATAGTGAGTTCAAGGCCAGCCTGAAATAGATAGTGAGACCCTATCTCAGAAAATAAATAAATAACTTTCTAATCCCTGAACATGAATATTTCACTCCATTTATTTTGACCCTTAAAGTCTCTCATGGATGTTTTCTAATTCTCTACAGAGGTTTGTACATCATCTGTTATCTATTTAAAGAAATACTATACATTTTGAGTGTAGTAAATAGTATATTTTACATCTGTTTTCTGTTGCTGTTATAGGAAAATATAATTAATTTTATGGATTGATTTTACATGTAATTGCTATGTATAGTTTTTTGCTAAATTTTCTTACAACTTTAATAAATTACTTGTAAGTTCTTTTGGGTTTTCTCTATATATAGTCATACAATTTGCAAATAAAGACAGTTTACATCTTCATTTCCAGATTTTATATCTTTTACTTCCTTTTCTTATCTTGTTTTTGACCTCAAATCTTCAGTACAATGCCAAATTGAAATGGTGAAGTTGGTCATTCTAGGTTTGATCCTTATCTTCAAGGAATAACTTACATCTCACCTTTGAGTATTATGCTTGCTATAGTGTTTTGGGGGGCAGTGTTACCTATTAAAGGAAGTTTCCTTCTATGCTCAATTTGTCAAGAGTGATAATCTCACTTTTTTGAAATACAACTGACATATCACAAAATTCTCTCATTTAAAATGTTACCTCAGATGGGCAAAGTGGCTCATGCCTGTAATCTCAGCACCATGGGAGGCAGAGGCAGGAGGACAGCAAGATGAAGCCCACCCTGAGCAAGTTAGTGATTTAGGGAGACCCTGTCTCAAAATTAAAAAAAAAAATTTAAAGGGGTTGGGGTTCTAGTTCAGTGAAAAGGTCCAGTTTTAGTTCCCAATAACACACACACACACACACACACACACACACACGGAGTTGTCCTTTGTATCTTGAAGTGATGTTATTAAACGCATCCAAAGTGACTGATGCTAACAGTACCTTTTGCCTTGAAGCTTTGTTTTCTGTTACTGATGCAGACGATCTGGTTTCTTTTGGTTGGGGTTTGCATGGAATGTAATTTTTCATCCTTTAACTTTTGGTCTTTCTGTAACTTGATGCTTTTTATGTGTCTCTTTAAAATAGCACAGAGTTACATTTCTTTTTCTAATTTGACAGTTTCTGTCATTTGGGAGTATTTAATGTTCTATGGAATTTTAAAAATCACCACATTTTGCACTTTTTTGTGGTACTGGGGGGTGAACCCACAGTCTTTGCGTTCAACTACATCCACAGCCTTTTAAACTTTTTATCTTAAAACAAGGTCATGCTAAGTTGCCCAGGCTGGCTTCGAATTTGCAATCCTCCTGCTTTGGGCTCCTAGTAGCTGGGATTACAGCTACTCACCACTCAGCTCAATTTTTTACTTTCTATTTGTTCTTCCTGTTACATGTTTATTTTCCGTCCTTTCTTGATTATTTTTGAATAGTTTTTAAAAATCATTTTATTTTCCCCCTACACTATCATAAAAGTTATAGATTCTACAACTCTTGGTTTGTTTGGTGTTGGTGCCCAAGCAAACCTAGAAACTAATGTTATTCCATGTTTTACCTTTGTCTCACAAACATAAAGCCCTTAGAATAATCCACTTCCCTCCTTCCCAAGTTGTATGCTATTGCATATGTATGTGTGTCTTGGTTCTTTTCTTTCTTTCTTTCTTTTTTTTGGTACCAGGGATCGAACTTGGGACCTTGTGCTTGTGAGGTAGGCAGTGGAACCACTGAGCTAAATCCCCAGCCTATCTATCTTGGTTCTTTTTTTAATACAAACAGTGTTGTGGTTATTGTTTTATAAAGACAATATTTGTTTAGGTTTACCTACATACCATTTCATTTGGTTTTAATTCTCCATCTTTGACCTTCTACCTGAGATTATTTCCTATTGCCTTAAATATTTTAGAATTTCTTTCAGTGAGGGTATTCTGAGGGCAAACTAAAAATACCATTACTTTTTTCTCATTGTCTAAAAATATTTCTTCTGGGTAAAAAAATTCCATAATGGTGATTTGTGTGTGTGTGCTTCGAATACACAATTTCATTACCTTCTGGCCCATCGCTGCCATGGACGTATCAACACAGTCCATTTGCTCCTTTGAGGGAAATATGTCTTTTTTCGCAGATAGCTTTTAATGTTTTCACATTGCCTTTGGTGTGCTCCAGTTAAAATGTTATTTGTCTAGGTGTAGGTTTTTAAAAAATTGTATCTAGCTTTTAATTTGAGGGAGGATTCTTCAATCTGTGACTTAGATTTTTCAGGATAATTAGAAAATCTTTCTGTCTACAGTATAGTTACACCCCATTCTCTCTCTCCTCTTCTGAAATTCTAATTAGATATATGTTTGACATGCTCTCTTTGTGGCCTCTGCTAATCACGTTCTCAACTCCCATCTTTGTTTCTCAGTACTGTAGACTGTGTAAATCTTTTAGCTCCCTATCAATTTACAAATTCTCTCTTCTTTTGCATCTGATTGTCCATTATTTTCTTTTTTTGCTGCATTGAAAGGTCCTATTTTACATATCCTGCAGTTTACTGTCTCCATAAACATTTTGCACAGTAGTGTATTCTGTCATTTCTACTTTGCAGATATTTTCACGTGCATTATTTTATCGTGTGTATCATGTGTCCCAACAACCCAGGTCACTCAACGAACACAGAAAATATTAGATAACATTGTAAACAGCAGAAGCATTATAAGAATTGTAAGACTTTAACTCTAGTGCTGCTGCCTGCCTCGAAATCACAAGGTCCTAAGTTCGATCCCTGGTACCAAAAAAAAAAAAAAACTCAAGGAATCCATTTTTCATGTGTTTGTGCAGCAGTTTTCCACCAGTGCATAGCAAGTGAACATGAACTGCGTGACGCAGAGTGGCTGCTGGTGTCCTGTCAGCGCTGTCTGAGTCAGGAGAATGGGGACAGCCAGCTGGGTGCTCTACCCAGGTCTCACAAGGACACAGTCTGGGTGTCCACAGGGCCGCGTCCCCATCCACAGTGTGAGTTCTGAACACCGTGAGCTCTTGGCAGAGTTCAGCCCCTTGCTTCCGGAGGGCTGAGCCCTTCAACTCTGAGCTGCTGCCCTTCCCCAGATGCGAGTGGCGAGGCCGTTCACAACACGGCCTTGTTTCTCCAAGGCCCAGGACGATGACTCTCTCCAGGAAGGGCCCAAGCCCCTCAGGAGTTCCTACCTGAGTAGGTTGGCTTCATCCAGGAAGATTTCCTCAATTAACCCCAAACCAGCCGATGAAGGACCTAAGTTACATGTGTAGTGACCTATCCTTTGTGGAGAGGCTCAGAGCCAGGATTGCCATCCCAGTACTGCTGCCACGTCCCCCAGCTGCAAGCAGGTGGTGAATTCACCCGCATCCAGCATGGAGCTAAATAAATCAAACACGAGTCGACTAGAAAACACAAACCTGTAACATTCACTGCCTGCAGATTAGCAAGCTGAAGGAAAATGTGGTGTACCAGTTCCAAGTGGCGGCCATGAACATCGCCGGCCTGGGGGCGCCATCGGCCGTGAGCCAGTGCTTCAAGTGTGAGGAGTGGACCATCGCCGTGCCCGGTAAGGGGCAGCCCCGAGTTGCCGCTGGGCTGGGGGTGGCTTCCCGCAGCACCTACACCTTGCAGCCTGACTGAAGCGCGTGCTACACAGGCCACTTTAGGAAAAGAATTCTCTTGGTCCTTACACGTACCTAAAAGACTTTTATGATTAATCTAAAGTAAAGCAATATGAAGTTAAGAATAAATTCCTTACACTTGTGTTTCAAATAAATTCCAGAGCCTCGAAGCTCAGACTCTGCCTGGGGTAGGGTTGACAGAAGCAAAACAATTTGAGAGCTAACTGAGCATTCGAAGGGAATCTCCTCTTTGCTTTTGCTTCTTAAGGGCCATTAAAGAGCAGCAGTTCACACTCTGCAGCAGAATTTCTCCCATCACCCTGCATTCCGTTCCCATCACACATTCTCCTCTTGCTCTGGAGCCCCAGCCCCTAAACCACCTCCTGCAAACCCAGCCTGGGCGGGCTCTCCTCCCTCTTCCTAGCTCCTGGTTATGTCACACAGATGGACGTAACAAGCCCACCGGGGTCTGAAGCCCGGTTTCTCTCTGCAGGAGCACGAGTGCTCGCTCCCTCCCCTCTCCCTCTCTGTCTCTGTCCCCCTCTCTGCTCTCCCCCTCCCCCTTCTTCCCTCCCCTCTCTGCCTCCCTTCCCCCTTCCCCTCTCCCTCCATATTTTAAAAACCCTGCTCCACCAGAAAAATCCTGGAACCTGGCTGGCAAATCATCTCCTTTGGAGTTCATCATGGAAGGTGGTTGGGTGGGCAGGAAATAAAATAGGAAGTGAGAACAAGGACCCCCACCCCTGGAACTGGGGATGGAACTCAGGGCCTTGTGCATGTGAGGCAGCCAAGGCACCACTGAGCTAAATCCCCAGAAGCTATAAAAAAATGTAAAAGTTGAGTATGAACAAATTTACTAAGCTGCCTAAGATTAAAACTAGCAATGTTCCTGTGTTTGCTGGATGACTTAATTTTGTTCCCAGTGGCCCTGACTTCACAGACCCAAATAGTCTGAGTTCCACAAGAGACTCAGCTGTCAGCCTGGGTTGACAGCCGCCATGTTGGACAGGTGTGGTGCGGCCATAGGCCTCCTCAGCTTCCTGGGCGGACACAGACCTGCCCCCAGTGCCACCCAGTCCTGTGTGAAGAGCCATGTGCTGCCTTCCCCCACGGAGCACCCCTCTGAGCCACCTGTCTGCTGAGTGTGAGGAAAGACTGCTGGAGACAAACTCAGAGGCTGAGGGCTCGCTTGGCTCCAGCAAACACCAAGAGGTCTGAGCTCCCCTTCCAGGCGCTCCTTGAAAAGTTCTCTCTACCTCTTGCACACAAGTGTGTTTGTGTTCACATTTTTGGCATTCCTGGATAAAGTGAACCATGAGTGACCAGAGAAGGCAAGTCTGACCAGGCTGTGGAAAGAGTTTCAACAAAAAGTGATGTCCCTGCTTTGCAGAAAGTGGCAGTGAGCGCAGTGCAGCAGACCCCTTCCAGAGCTGACACTTCAGACCAGCCTGGCCCCGTTGAGCGGCCCAGCAAGGAGCTCTCACAAGGCAGAGCAGTGCCGGCTGCACCCTCCTTTCCTTGTACTCAGACGAAGCCAAGCCTTGGGTTAAACCGGTGCGGCAGGGCACGGCAGGGCACTCGGTAGGACTGGAAACAAGGGAGGTGTAGGACACAGCAGGATCCAGCCCTCCCCATGAGGGAAGGGCAGTGCTGCCTTCGTGGATGACCTCGGGTCCTATGTGGTGCAGGTTACGCTTGCACAAGCCCTTTGCCAGGCAGAGCATGCCACACTGGCGTAAGGGATTTCCTGTTAATATTTAAATGTGTTTCCATGTAAGACATCGGGAGACACAGATGATGCATATTTGAAACTAAGCCAAGGTGAATGATCTAACAAACACTGAACTGTGGATTGCAAAATGCCACATCACAGCGTGATTCACTCTGTGTGGAGTTGCTTTCAGGCTACCTTGAGTCACTTCGGCGGTTTTGATTGGTTGGTTAGAAATCAGGCGTAGAAGGAGAGGAAGCAGAAGGAGGAGGACAAAGAGGAGGAGGAGGAGAGAAAAAAATAAGGGTATCACCTGAAGAGCAGCTGCCAGTCACGCAGCGATAATGGCAATCACGCAGTAGTCTGGACTCTGGGGAATGCAGAGCATGCGCAGAGGGAAAGTTACTCATCTGCTGGGAGCTTTCTGTTAGTCCTTAAGGTCAGATGGGCTCACTGGATGTAAAATACCTGGTATTATTTAGCATGGATTCAGGGCCTGGGATCCACTGTGTTTATTTTGGGGAAGAGTGCCTGCAAACCTTAAGCAGTCACTTTTCCTTTTACCTGTCCTGGGGTGATGGTTCAGGGAAGCCATCCCTGTCTCCTTCAGAAGAGCTACTACTGTCCATCCTCAGATGCCGCCCAGTGGCATCGCTTTCTTCCATGGTTTGAGAGTTTTAGGTTGTCACTCACCAATGGTGGGAGACGGAGCCTGCAGCAGCTCTGGTAAAAGGTCGCCAGGCAGGCCCAGGCACAGGCGGGGAAGCTTCAAGCCAGCCCTGGGGGCACCCTGAGTGCCCGTCCACCTGCCCCCGTGACAGACTCCGGAAGCTGCATAGCACAGTTGTGGGACTACAAATGCCCGTTTTCCCAGGAATGCTGGGGTGAAAGACGCGAACCGTTGTGAGAGCCTGTGAGTCTTTCCTGTGGGTGTAATGTACACATCTGAGTTTCCTCATCTACACGGTGCTCCCTGTTCACAGTTCTCCCCTCTCCCCTGCTCTCCCTCCCAGGACCACCGCACAGTCTCAGGTACAGCGAGGTCAGGAAGAGCTCCCTGGTCCTGCAGTGGAAGCCCCCAGTGCAATCTGGGAGGACCCCGGTCACTGGCTACTTTGTGGACCTGAAGGAGGCCACGGCCAAAGATGACCAATGGCGAGGACTCAACAAGGCTGCCATTAAAAACACATACCTCAAGGTAGGAGGTGCTGGGCCCTTGGCATGCTTTTCGGCTCTAAAAAGGAAAATGTACTGTACTGATACTAACTTTAAAGTTGGCAAGATAAGTTGGGCATGGTGACTGCACACCTATAATCCCAGTGCTCAGGAGGCTGAGGCAGGAGGAGCACCTCGAGTTTGAGGCCAGCCTGGGCTACACAGTGAGTTCAAGGCCAGTCTGAACTGCATAGCAAGACCCTGTCTCAAAACAAACAAACAAACAAACAAATACACAGTTGGCAAGACAGAAACAGTGCCTCTGCTCTGGCCTGTTTTGCACCCTGGGCTCCTGGTAAGACCCAGGCAGCAGTGGCTGTGGCTGGGGACTTTCCTGACGCTGCAGAAGCTTGGTGATATTTAACCGGAACTCCTCAGGCAAGCTCTGAAACCCCACCACCACCAGTGCCTCCTCGCTGTCCCTTCCCTCCTTGCTTCAGCTTCCCTCTCCCTTTCTGTTACCCACGGCTCAGAGTGCTGCTGCGACCCCTTCATCCCTGCCTCTAGCTGTTGCAGGTGGCTTTTTGCTCGAGGGTGCTTTGTGTATGGAGTTCACGCAGTCCACCCCAACCCACCTGCTCTTCGCTGAGCTCTCGGGGATTCTGCCATGGGCTCAGTCACCTGGCGACCTCAGCTGCTTGCTCATCTGGGTTCGTGCTCTCTGGGCTACCTGGCAGGGCTGCCCGAGCCAGCATCTTACTCTGCCTGCCGGAGACTTCGAGCTGGAGCCACCGCCTCTGGCGGTGCCCAGTGGAAATCTTTGTTGTTGGTGGAACATCTGAAGACCTCGAGTCCCCTGAAACCCTCAGGGAATGTGACCGACCACAGCGCTTGTCCCTCAGCAGTCCCCTGCAAAGTCGCATGCTGCTGTCACCCTAACGCAGTGTAACGCAGTGTAACCCAAGGCCACACTTCCTTGTTTCCTTTTGATTGCTCATCACAGCTTGGTGGCTAAGGTGGTGGGGAGGAAGTAGTTGGAAAGGGTGAGCAACAGGGGGCAGCAGGCCAGGGAATGCTGAGACTCCAGAGCAGGGGAAATCCAAGGACAGGAGAGTAACGCGTGCGCACTACGCGTTTGTGGTGCTGCTGAGGCCCACGGTCCTTGTCTCAGCTGAGGGCTCGTGGAGCTAAGTCCCTGCCGCACGGTGACACAACCCCGGGATGTGGCCCTCCCTCCCTCCTCTGCCTCCCAGGTGGGCAGGTGCAGGTGTGTCAGGCACCTGGCAATCTGTGTTTTTAGTGCAACAAGGAAATGTGTCTGCTCCTTTCTCAAGCCCACAGCTTCCTGGCATTATTTCTTAATGTAGAACTTCAAATATATCAAATTCTGGGCATGTTCCTATGCCCAAGTTCAAGTTCATTTACCGACTGAAATTAACCTCAAAAGATCCTCAACTCCAGTGAAAACTACCATTACATGGTGACATTCTGTCATCATACAAATAAATGGATTAAAAGCTAACAGTCTAACCCGCAGCTTGTTTAAGTGTGTGATCACAAACGCTTCACTTAGTTGAACAAATGTTTGATTTAAATCCAACTTTGGATATTGATCTCAATCACAGAATTAGGGAGAAATTGTGTTTCTGTGTGCAATAAATTTCTTCTCTTTATCTATTAAAAGTCACATGTTTTAAAAATTAAAAGATAATTTTGATAAAATATTAGCAGTTTATTTGTACTTGGAATGGTAATGGGACAATGAAGAACCCAAAGAAAGTCATAAAATGTTATGAAGTAGGATGACATGCAACAAATAGATTATGAATGCAGTGCTGAATCCAAAGAAAGCCACAAAACATTATGAAATATATATCAAACTCGGAACCTCGAGCTTTTGAGGCAGGTGCCAGAACCACTGAGCTAAATCCCCAGCAAAAATATTCTTAATTATTAAAATTTTGAAGTTTAGAATTTCAGTATGCTTTGATTATTTACAAAATGCTTAAATCCACAGTGATGGTAATTGTTGTCTAACGAGAAAAATTCACACTAAATTTGCAGGAAGAATTTTTGTTCTAGTGCTTGACCATGCATTTAACCAAATATAAAGTGTCTGTGATCCGGGTTTTTAATTCTCTCCTGCTAACAATTTCATCTGAAATAATTCTTGGGACGTCTCCAGCAGACTGGGGCTGGGGAGCGGCAGCAGCCTCTGTGCTATTGTGAGTGCTTTGCATTTCGCCTTTGTGACCAAAGAATGAGGTGGCCGACTGTACGTATAGTCTCTGTTTCTGATGTTGGAAGCCATCGAGTGATCTAGAGGAGGCAGAGCCTCAGAAGAGGTCTGAGGAACGAGCGCCATGCCTGCTGGTGCAGAGGGAAGGCAGCCTGAAGCCAGCGCCACTCAGAGTTGGCTGTAGGACGCCAGCCCCTCCCGGTGTGCGGCACAGGATGCGTGCGTCTGCACCAGGGACCTAAGACACCCACTGCTTCCGCACCTGCTTCTTCCAGGTGCAAGGCCTCCAGGAGGGTGTCAGCTACGTGTTCCGGGTCCGAGCCGTCAACCAGGCAGGCGTCGGGAAGCCGTCTGACCTCGCTGGCCCTGTCGTGGCAGAGACTCGTCCAGGTGGGCCTTTACTTCTTCCTTGAGATTCATCTCAGGTTGGGGATGTAGCTCCTGGTACAGCAATTGCCTGGTATGCATGAGGCCCTAGGTTCAGTCCTCAGTCACACACACACACACACACACACACACACACACGCACACACACACGATGCATCCCATTGTGTAAGATGCTGAAAGCACTGTTCCCCTAACTTCCTGTGCTTTTCCTGATTGTCGAAATCATCATTGTGTGCTGTCTGAGATACTGACGAGGGTGACTGTGGCATGTGACAAGTGCTCCCCCCTTCTTCACAGACGCCTCGGGACACAGATACGCCAGGTGGGAGATGGTCCAGGGCTATTCTTGCTCATACCTAAAACAGGGAAATTCTGCATCAAATGGTGCTTCCTAGACGATCTCTGCCAAGCACCCTCCCCGGGAAGTTATTCCTATTATGTCCTGGCCGATAAGCCCCATCAGATCTTTTCTAATATAGAGGAGGCTGGAGTGACCCAATTAGCAGGCACAGTGCTTAAAGGAATGTGGGACATATGTATGCACTTGTAACTATCAAGTTAGACTGGAGGCAGCAAACTTTCTTTGAAGGGCAGACAGTAAATGCTCTCGGCTTTACAGCCACATGGTCCGGGTCACAGCCAACTCAGCCTGGCCATGGCACGAATGCAGCCATAGACAATATATAAACTATAGGCGTGCTGTCCCAGTAGACCTGTATGATGTGCACTGCATATATACATCACACTATGCATTATAAAATTTGATTTCTACCTCAGTTTATCAAGTCTCAAAATATTCATCTTTTTTCAGCTGTTTAGAAATACAAAAAGAATCGCTCCTCGGCCTTTTGGCTAAGATCAAGTGTAGAAATATCAAGAGGCCACAGGCCAGACTCAGCCCACAGGCCATAGTTCGCTGACCCCAGGTTAAGCTAACGGTGGTGCTGCCTGAATGGGCCACAGAGCTGAGGCGGGCTTGGGGATGCCGGGACTGGAGCAGGGAACACAATCTCTCCTTCACTCCGAGGACAAAGCTGGGAGTGTGCCCTGCCCACGAGTTCAGATCATTACACAATAATAACTCTTTCATCGTTCAGTCTGTATCATTTTAAAGTTATAGATTTCAGTTCATTAAAGGTGCATAAGAGAAAGCACTAGACATTAAACAGGATACAAATATTAACCAGTTATCTTTCAGTTTATATTCATTCTAGTCCAAGTGCTTTATCTTTAATCCATCCCTACCATCAGAACTGAAATAAACAAAAAGCAGATGCATAATGTAATTATTTTCTTGATAAGAAAACAATGTGAACATCAAGGAAACTCTGCTTTTACTACCTGTGACTTAAAAAATCTAAGCAAAAGTCCTCCCTTTGGGAAACTCTCTGCCCTTTTCCTATTTTTTCATAACTGTCTTCAGCTTTTCTTCAACTGGTTTTAGGCATGGGTGAGACAAAAGTGACCTTTTCAGGAGTGTGACGGGTATCTGGGGACAGTGCCAGATTCTTACCTGTAACCTTTGTAAAATCCCAGGAGAAATCAGAGACATGCTAGGAGCAGATGTACCAGATACAGGGCAGCACACAGAGCCATCAGGACCTATATTCCCATAGGAGTCAGGCCCTTCTGTTGCCAACTGTGTGGATATTAAAGGTGCCATCTAGACATGGACAGGGCAGCATTTAGATGGCTGCGTGAGCTGACTCTTCATCTAGTCATGGGCAGATGAGAGCACACTGAAGCTGCCGATATCCAAGGGCCTGACTGAAGATAGCTCAGATCAGCTGCTTGTTTTCTTGTCCACAGCACTGGGATGGCAGGTGGCCAGGCATGACATTAACAGAGCCATCACTAGGGAAGTTTTGCCACCGGAAAAGGGTCTATTCATGACCTAGGTGAGAGTTTAGTTTCACGGATTTGGACTAAGGCATCAAGGGTCATTTCTGTGGCCATTCCCTTTCTGGAATATAGCTCCAAGCAACAGCTGCAGACGTAGACACACTCAGCTCCATGGTAACCCATTCAGGGAGCACCAGCTCCCAGCCTAGGAAGGGTCCAGGGACACAAAGTCAAAACGCTCCCCATGCAGGGCACTGACACTCTAGTGACATTTGAACCTATCTTGTGGGCAGTGGGCACATTCACTGTTGCAACGTGCATTTCTGGAGCTCTTCCTGCATGCCAGGTGCTGTGTGGGCCTGCCACACACTGGGTTCACTGTCCAGTGGGAACGCCGGAGTTGCAGCATGGGGTGATGACGTTTATAAGACATCTCCATAGCCAAGGAGGCCATAAGCTAGGCACCAGGGTCCCTGCTGAGGTTATGAGGAACTCGGTGCCCTTCCTATTTTTCACAGTTGCCTTCCCCTTCTCTTATATCTGGTTTGTAGACTGGACTCTGACAAAAGTAACCTTACAAAAGTGTGGCAGGTATCTAGAGACCGCTGGGCTCCACATCCGTGTAAACACAGGTAGCCGGAAGTTGTCCATATTCATTAATTTCATTAAGTATCGGCCCGTTACTTTTTCCGTGCATTTGTCTTATGTTGGAAGACACAGGGCCGGGGAGGGGGAAGACATGTTATCCATTTCAAGGTTTGGGATGTGAAGCTTGGATTGCTATTTCAGAAAAACAGCTTCTTTGGGGATACATTATTAAAATTTCAGGTAGAAAATAAAGCTTATCATGTAACAGCAAACTGCATATCTAACCAGATATCTCAAGTGGAATTGAATTCCAGCTAAATGTTAACTTAATCTATGGGGTGTGGTAGGATCACTGGTCTCCCTTTGAAGTCAAAAAATAGGCAAGCAGCTGTATGTGGCACGGCTGTATGTGGCCTCAGCTGCAGTCTGATTGTGCTGGTAATGAGGTTCCAGACACTAATGGATGTGTTGTGCTTTCCCATGAAACCCTTTAGCTAAAGAAGCCCGGAAATGGAATAGGCTTAACAGCTACTCCTAGTGTGGATTTGTTGGTACCTAAAAAAAAAATTCTCTTCCTGGTATTTGATACTTTAAAAACAGCATCTGTGGGTGATTGCATCCGGCTGGGGTGGAGCAGGAGGCCAGGTGAGCAAGATCAGATGGAGACAGAGGTGACTGCGAGGGCAGCTGCCCGGTGGCATAGGTGGCAGGTGTTCTTACCAGAGAACAGGCCAGTGAGCAGGAGCATCGGGTGATGGGCCAGAGAACCTGGGCACTGGGCAGCGTCCCAAGAAGGAATCAGGTTACCGGAAACTAGGATTGGGTCACCAAGAACAAGCAGGTTAGGAGAAGGCACTGCCAAAGGGAGAATGAGTTGGAGTCAAACTGACAACCTAGTATAACCAAAGGCACATTGCAATCCTGGTGTCTAGACCTGGCAAGGCTGGAAGGCGCGTGTGTGCCGGGACCTCCTGGGGAAATCCCGAGGGATTCCGAAGCAGGAAGTCTGGCCTTAGAACTATCTGCTTACCTTACGATCTGTCTCACCCACTGGCATAGTAGCTCTCAGCCTTGGTTGTACTTGAGAAGCCAACCAGAACTTTGATAATGCTGGTATCCAGACTGCTCCGGGCCAGCTAAAGCAGAACATCTAGGGCTAAGCCTGGACAAAGCTTTCTGTGTTTGTATAACTCCTTGGGCAATTCGGGTCTGAAAGCAGGCTTGAGAAATATGCATTACACTCTGGGCTCCTTCAAAACAGTAGCTGTCTTCTGTGTCTATGTGCCGAGAACTGGAATAGTACCTGGTATATTACGTAGGAGCTGATCTATGAGATGAAAAAGTAATGAATGACTGCCGTGTTTTGGCTGTCAAGTGTGGCCATTTGGCGGCCTCTGGGTGCACTTCACCCTTGGCCGCTCGTGAGGCCTGCCCTGACTCGGAAGGATGACTTGGGAAAGAAGTGTCCAGCGGAGGCCAGGACCTGTCCCCAGGTGCTGGGTCACCCAGCAACCTCACCTTAAACTCAGGGCCGCGGGCTCAGTGGCTGATCGTGGGGTCACTCACTTCCACCTGCTTTATCCTGTCCCACTCTTCGGTTTTTAAAAAATATACACACTTTTGGGAAAGGACAAATAACTAAAGCTTACAGATGTGATATATTAGTGCTGATGTAAAAAAAAAGAATTCTCATCAGATTATAAAATGTATAGGGAAGGCAACAGTGTGCTGGGATTTTATTTCAACCTCAACTGAAATTCTGTATTCATTTATTTATTTAGAAGAGAAAAGTGGGATGGAGTTGGTCAGTTTCCAGACAGCTCATTTTAGCTGTGGGCCGCACCTTCATTTCTTCCCACACTGGGGACTCCTGCTCAGAAGGACCGTAAAAGCCATGTGTGCACAGCCGTGTCCAAATCAAGGATTGGTCCAGGGTGGAGTTGCTGACTGGGGACAACTCTTAAGCCCCTTTCCCGTCAAAACAATCTCTTTGTCTCCACTCAAGTCTCCTGAATTCTCTGTGACCTTGAGCACAGTCAAAGGTCATTTCTGAGAAAAATCTAAGTTATGACAAATTTTGGTTGGCATTTCCAGCCCGACTTTGTGGGAAAGTGGGAAGGAGGATATCCATAGGGATTCCTTCATGTTGATGGCAGAACATTAAAGCTGTTTCTGCCCAGTAAATAACTAAATGTTTTAGTCATACATTAATCAAGTTGGATGTCTTTAGGTATTTATCAAAGTTCAACCATGAATTAATTGACGATACGCAACTCCTAACAAAGGCTCAGTTAAATACTGGACCAAGCTGGGTGCAGGTATAGTGACTATAATCCCAGCATGCGGGAGGCTGAGGCAGGAGCATCACTATGACTTCGAGCCCATCCTGGACTACATAGTGAGTGGCAGGCCAGCTTGAACTACATAGCAAGATCTTGTCCCCTCAGAAACACCCCAAAAACAAAATAAATCAAAATCCTGGGTCATTCTAAAAGGAAAATTTGAGACTGTTTTAGCTCTACTTTTCTCTCAGGCTTTCTCTTCCTACCAGGTTAATCTCCACAAGACACTGTCTGCTGACTTAGCCTGGGGCATATTAGAAATTCTGTTATTGCTTTCTGGGTTAATCTTGGTTTTTCTAGAGCATTTTTATAAAGAACATCCATTTGAATGCCTTGTAACTTGTACAATTGCAATGGAATTCTTTGCCCATTACATATCCAGGACCCTTGTTTAAGGAATTCTAATCAGCTCCTCCTACATTTTAGTGTGTGAAAAATCAGCTCTCCAGACACAAGTCTACGTCCTCTTAGAATATGAAGAGAAACCTACCATCCAACATGTCCATGTGCAGGAAAGCTCCTGGCTTGTTTTTTAATTATTTTGTGTACTTTTAAATTCGCCAAGAACTGTCTTTTTGTTTCAAACTTCTGCTTCCTCACATTCCTCCCTTGACCCAGTAATTTCTCTAACATATTTTCTGAGGTTGTGAATGTGGCTCAGTGGTACAGCACTTGCTTAGCAGGTGCAAGGCCCCGGGTTTGAGCCTCAGTGCCACCAAAAAATACAACAGTATTTTCCTGAATCTTCTCTTTTCCTGTATTCATGAACCTAGGCAATGCCAATTTGATTTCCCACTACAGGTATTTTTGTAAAATACTGGTGCCTTAAGCTACTTTAAAAAATAACTCTACTCAAAAATTTATACTAACAAATGATTAAAATCAAACAGTAAGAAAATGAATTGAATTTGAAAAGTCACGGTGAAAGAATGACTGTGTCAGTCAGCCCTGAACGAGACAAGAAAGGGGCTGGAACTTGCTTCCTGCATTTTCAGACCATAAATTCATCTTACTTTTAGTGATATTGTTTAAAGTGCATTTTGGGGCAATATTAAGTTATGTTGACTAAGCATTCTTTTCCAATGAGAATAGTTAGAAAACTCAAGAAACACATTTAAATAACGAGCACTTAACATGTTTTCAATGAATTTGATTTTTCAAATTTGAGATTATCCTGACGTTCAGCCAGTGTACAGCATGTTCAGTTTGTCAGGGGGAGATCAGGGTTCAAACTCTGAGTATAAAATGAAGCAGGAAGTCTATTGCACTAGCATATTTTCTTTGTTAGGACTTCTATTTCATCTTGCTTATCTATCAGAATACAGGTGTCACACCTAAACTATGATAGAAGTTCCAATGAAATAAATGTTACAATTTTGAACTGACATTCTCAAAGTGTTTTTTTTTCCAATCCAGTCCCTGGCACATGTAAATGTGTATGGAAAATACGAAAGACTGCATCTCTTCCTGTACAAGATCAACCTTTTTTTTGATGAACTGAACAAGTAGTGCAGCTTTTTGAAAAATAAAAATGAAAATACTCATCTTAATGAGTTTTTATTTTTAAGTGCTCAAATATACTGCAGTTTTAACTGTTTTTATTTGTTCCCTTTACGTTCATTTATTGAAATGAATCAACCAGCACTCACCCTAGCCACGGTGGTGTTTTCGTCAGTTGAAGAAATGTACATATTCCCTTTTGACTCCAACAGGTACTGTTTGAGAAGTGCTGATTTACTTAACCAACCAAGCAGGGCTTCACCAATAGCAGCTGTCTCTCAGACACTAGCCCACACTGCGGCTAATTCCTACCTCTTACTTAATTTTAAATTACAAAGTTTAATCTAAGACTAAAAATGATCACATTGTTTAAATGACCACATTTCCTATGTTAGAACTGAGCCGTGTGGGAAAGGCAAGACTCAGAATGAGGCAGAAGCACGTGTATTGCTGGAGACTTAAAAAATAATACCTTTTATTTAAAAAGGAAAACAAATAACATTTCACTTCACATTTTCATAGAAGCTCACTGGTAACTTTACAAAAATGAATTTCTCAGAATACTTCTGTATTCTTTTCTCAGTAACTCGGGCCATTAAGACAGAAACCAAGTGTGGCTGTCCCATCCTCCCAGCTACCTGGGTTTGAGACCAAAGCTGCCCCACTCTGAAATCTGAACAAACTATTGTTTTACAAACCAGTTTTCTGTTTTCCTGAGGGTTTACTACGAAAGCATCAATACTTTAAAATTTGAAGGCGTTTTGATGAAATTCCTTTCAAGTAGCTTCCGCATTTCAGTGGGTGCTTTTCGGTCTTGGATGTAGTACACTGGATCTATGCTCCCCTTTCTGTGTGGCTCGGCGCTGACCTTATTCATGGTGCAGTTTGCAATGGGGCGGTGTCGTGACAGGGTGAGGAGCCATCCGTCCCCACCCTAAATAACATCCTGTGCTGCTCTTTGGTCTTGCTGCCTCCTCTTGCTGTCATTTCCTTATTCTCACAGAGACCCCTCTCTTCTCCTTTAGTTTACGGCATGGAGGGAAGCAGTGGAGTCTCAAGCAAGGTCTGAGTAGATTCCAGGTGACAGCCCTGGGATTCTCCAGTGTGCACTTGGCACTCATGAGTGGCCTTTGCCCCATCAGCACTAGGTCTTAGAGCTGTGTTTCCTTACTTCCTGGGCTGGGGCAAGGGTCCAAAGAGATGAGGTGTCACAGTACGAAGATTGGCTGAAGAGTTAGGAGAAATGCAAAACTGATGGAATTGTCCACATTCTGCCAGTTTGGTGGCTCCTTTGCATGAAAATCAAATCTTTCACGTTAAAAGAATCCACCTGAACAGGGTTTTTCTGCTGTCAACCTAAGTTATGCCTTTAATATTATAAGCAGGAAGCATATAGATGAGTCATTTCCTTTTTACAAAGGACTACAGGTGAGACTGTGATTCATGCGAGCAACCCGTCACGCTTCCAAATTGGATGTTATGAAAAACGCAAGGCAGAGTTAGTCGGCACCACTTCTCAGCAGTGCAGACGGACAGATAGACAGGATAGACGAGCTGAGCTCTCTCAGGGGCTCAGCCAGGCAAACCTTGTGTGACTCTAAGCTCACAGCAGTGCACAGCAGTGCAGATGGACAGACAGGATAGACAAGCTCAGCACCCTTCAGTTTAGTCTTAAGTTTTAATAAAAGTGCCTGTTCAACATCTATTTTGCATCAGTGGGGTACAAGGACTAGCTATGTGTCATTAGCACTGGAAATGAAATATGGTCTGCAATTTCCAGGAGACTGGGCATAGTCTGTATAAGGAATACACATGTGCTTAAAGAACAATTAAGCCTTTAATGGATCATTATTTCAGGTTATCTATGTAGCTAAATATGAAAATAATCCTTTTTTAAAAAATAAAAGGAATGTTAAGCCAAGCACGGTGGTATATGCCATATACCGTACGGTATATGGTGGTAATCTCAGCACTCAGGAAGCTGAGGCAGGAGGATTCCCACAAGTTCTAGGTCTGCCTGGGCTACAGCAATTTCAAGGCCAGCCTGAACTGCATAGCAAAACACTGCCTGAAAAACAAAAATTTTTTAATCTCCTAGAATTAGTGTACTCTGAGCTTTCCCTCGACTAAAATCACTTTTTGGAGATTTGTAGTTGAAGCCCACACTGCCATAAACAGGAACACAAGTTAGGTCGACCATCAGGCTTGGGAGCCAAGCTCCTCATGTCCCTTGCGGGGCCAGGCTCCTCTCAGCCTCCCCTGGAGGGACTTTTGACATTTTCTTTCCCACTGACAAATGTTGCTGGACAATAGGACAGGATGCTGGGCTGTTATGATACAATCTAGAGAGAAAACATCACTCCTTTGGGAAATAGCTTTTGGAAGATATTTAAGTACTTTTGAAAAAATAAAGCTGTATCCAAAGACTAAATCTAATTTTCTCAGAAATATCGTAACTGAAACAAACCAAGTTGAGGCTAGCAGTTGAATGACTATGAATTCGAGTAGAACATTTTGCCTCCTTGAAGCTGAGTCTAGGCGTAGGTGTGACTGCGTCCTGCACTGTACAGACTTTCTTTGATTTGCTGTACTGGATGCAGGTACAATTTATTAAAACTCAAAACACTAACTGAATTGTTTTAAATCCAAAAACCAATCTTCTTGAAACGTACTAGACCTCTGGAAACCCATTTCCATTTAAATTTTCACATAGTTCAGTAACAGTTTTTCCTAGCTTTGAGCATTCTAATCTAGAGGACCCCCTTTCAGTTGATTCATGATTTTATCAGCAGAGCAAGTTCTGGTTATTTCTCCATTCCACAATGACTTACGGACTTTGAACATGTGAATGTAGGCAAGTCTTTTGCTCTATCCTTCTCCACTTTACTTTCTCCTTGGTTTTATTGCCTCTTTCTATCCTCTCCTCATGACCGACTGGGTCTGGGAAGTGTTGAAATGAATTCAGGCCTGATGGGGACTGTTTCGTTCTCTTTTTCCCACAGGTTGCCTTGTCCCCTTATTACAATCCAATCAGTCCACTCCCGTAGCTGCCAACAGTCCCATAAATAGCTCTTCCCGGTCACGGACACACAGCACTGTCCTGGCTGCACCTACGTGGGAGACACAGAGCATTTGCTAAATTCTGTGCTGCTTTGTAAAAGCTGAACGTCCATCCACCCTGAGCAACTGGGCTTTTCCAAGGCTAAAGTAAAGCATCCCAAGTGAGAGGTTCCACAGGGTATCAGTGCCTTCTTTTTCATCTTCTAGGAACCAAGGAGGTTGTTGTGAATGTGGATGATGATGGGATCATTTCGTTGAACTTCGAGTGTGATCAGATGACTCCAAATTCAGAATTCACCTGGTCTAAAGACTATGTGCGCACCGAGGATTCCCCGAGGGTGGATGTCGAAAGCAAAGGCAAAAAGTAAGGGTGGTTCCCACTGCAGGCATGGGTTTCCTATGGACTGCAGGAACAGGAAGTGGGCTCACGGTTTTCTACTTACATAACCTGGTGAAAGAGGATGAGGTCACAAGTATTTCATATCTAGTATTGAAAAAGTCATAACCAACACAAAGGTTAAAAGTAATAATACCTGGGCCGGGGATTTAGCTCAGTGGTTCCGGCGCCTGCCTCGCAAGCGCAAGGTCCCAAGTTCGATCCCCGGTACCAAAAAAAAAAAAAAAAGTAATAATATTTGTAAAATAAATACCTTCCAGAGTTCTTGGAGTAAAACTCCTCCGGTCAAAGAAAATGATCAAATGATAGATTTTCCCCCTGGCTTTTGCACCTAACATTTAAACATTTGATTGACCTCAGACACTGACTAGTGAAAAAGCTTGGCAAATCTGGGAAGCACAACGGACTGGACCACTGACCTGTTCTTTGGTTCCCTCCACACAGGATGTGCCAGACAGGGTGCAGGGGACCCAACGGGAAACAGGTCCTGTCTCGGAAGACACTGCGATGATACAGGGGGAAAATACTAGTGCAGAATAAGAAATGTAGGAAAGGGAAGTGCGGGGATGATACAGGAAAAGCACCCAGAGTTACCCGCAGCACATTCTGCTCTGTGGGAGAGAAATTTAGGCTCCGCAGCAGAGCTAATCTGCAAAATATCGTTACGTGTACTAGTCAAGAACATACAAGCCTGGAATGGGGAATGGGACAGCGGAGCACGAAAGGTCCTCCTAGTGAAACTGCTTTAACCTGAGATAGCAAGAAGGCGCTGGTATTAGCTGAGCAGGAGTGAAAGGTGTTCTGAATGACGGGCACCCGTGTGTGGGTACCTGGAGTCGGGGTAAGCACAGGCCCTCAGGCCTGGCACAACCTCATGTTTAAGAAAAGTATTTTGTTCCAAAGGACAAAACTGACCTTCAAAGATCCTGGGATGGATGACTTGGGCCTCTACTCCTGCGACGTGACAGATACCGATGGGATAGCGTCGAGCTACTTAATAGACGAGGACGGTAAGCTTAAAATCAGTTCATTCACAAACTGAAAGTTGGCTTCCTTTCTCAGTCATTCCCAAGTGACTTTCGTTTTAGTAGTTTATGGTTTAATTGTTTTCTGTTTCTCCCGACAGAATTGAAACGTTTACTTGCTCTCAGCCAGGAACACAAGTTTCCAAGTAAGTGTCCACAATACTTCACAGCTTTTAGCAGTATTGCCAGCAGGCAGCTTCTGTGCTGGATCAGATGCAGCCCGGCGGGGTTAGGAGAAGAGCCCCAGAGCAGCAGGGGCACCTTCTGGCAGGGATGCTCTGCTTCGCCGCTGTTCTCCAGAGAAACCAAGACACATTAAGAACACACTCGAGCTCCGTCACACAGGGAAGCGTCAGGGTGTGCAGGGGTAGCATCTGGGGGATCACGTCCTTCCCTTTTACCTGCATGTTTTAGGGTCGCATATCTATCTTCCTGGTTTATTCCTTCACACGTCAAACTGACTTCTTCCTAAGTGGCGGTGGCGCATAATGGAAGAATCAGACCGCTGAACAGAAGCGGTCTAAGCGTGGCACCTATCAGCACAAACTCTTAGGAAATGAGGCGCGGGCCTCGGCCAGAAAGAGTCTTTCTGGACTATTTACAGCCCTTTAAAGAAAGCACCTTCTACATAAAAGATTAGATGCCGCACTTGACACCCGGGAAAAGACCAAGAGGTGTGAAATAACACTCGGGGGAAGGTTCCACTGGCCTGACAGGCTCTCTCCCCACAGCCCAGGTCTGCGGAAAGTGCACCCTCCTCTGAGAAAATGAGCGGAAAGTGACCAAGTACACGCTTTTTTAAAAATTAAGAATTTCAAAGAATTTCTTGCTACTCAAACATATTTCAAATATATTTTCCTTTAATGCAAGAGTTTCAGGAATCAAAAAAAAACAATTTCCCTGTCCCAGATGATGGCAAAGCTGTGTGTATTCATATATGTGCCTTTTTCTAGGGAGAGAGTCCAGAGGGTTCCCTACACTCTCAGTGGAGGCTGAGAGTACACGCATATAACGTGCGTGTGTGCGTGTGTGCGTGTGTGCGTGTGCGCGTGTGCGCGTGCGGCTCTGGCACCTGTCTCCTCCTCTGCTCCCTGGAATGGTCTTCTTGACCATGAGGCAGGTGTAAGTGACCCCTGGCCTCAGCTGTCAGGTTCTTAGTACGCTGCTCCTTCCTGGATAGAGGGCAGATGGGGAGCCGTGCAGGGTGAGTGGAGGTGCAGATTTCTGGATGCTAAGGGAGACCCCACCACATGGCACTAGGCCAGCCATTTTCCTGAAACTGAAGAAGTCCCGGGGTGAGTAGCTCTGAAACCCGCATGAAGCCGAGGACTGGCCTCGACGCTCTTCCATCGCCACCTGTGGACCACTGTGAACTGGGCGCTCACCTCTGTTACCCACGCCTTGCCTTGTCTGCCAGGCTTGGCTACTATAATAGTAGATGCCACCGGCACACAGAGCTGTTTCCACGCCGTGTGGATGTGTGCACTGTCTTCTCCCAAGCATTAGCTGAAATACAGAGAAGCTGCAGAGTCTGCTAACAAAGTGAGTCAGACAGTAGATGCCAAGTCGAGGCAGCAGCTGCTTCCACCAGCACTCACACCGAACTTGGAGGACGGAGACAGGAGAACACGATGCCCAGTGTCACTGTTAGGTTCATCGTCGGGGCCTCCCCTGGGTGATGATCAGATACCTTGGAGACAGGATTCGTCAAGGCGGCTGGAATTGCCCAATGCTGCTGTCATTTACCTAGACACACTGTCTTCCATTTGCCTAAGGTCTCTACTGCCGTGCACCCACTTGCTATAGCAGCTTGGGGGACACAGACGAAGAACCCAAGAATATGTTTAAAACTGAATGCAAAGGTGAATCCCTAACCCAAGGGGGTTTTGTCCTCCCACTGAAGCAGCACTGTAAATGTGACAGCTCTAGTTCTTTCCTTTTCTCTTCCTCTGTAGACCAGAGAGGTCACTTCAGGAACATTTTCAGAGAAGCATTTTGATAGGATCAAAGCAGCACATCTATTTCTCAATTTATACCCACTTCCTCTCAATGTTGCCATGTTAATTTAGACATGTTTTTTCTTGAGATCTTATAAGATTTCATAAAGAGTATGTAAATGAGTACACTTTGGCACAATCAATTCTTCTATGTGAAGCTGGTTTCAAAAAATATTTTGAAAGCCATTAAGCATATGCCTTAAACCTACAGATAACATATTTTTCTGGAAGCAAATTTACTGCCAGGGAAAAGAGCTGAAGGAAATTCAGACCTGAGAAAAAAGGGGAGGAAATAGAAATCTAAAAATAGAAAACAACACAGTCTGTCCTGCTAGTACTGCTGCTAAACTGCAGCGTGGAGAGACAGCTTCTGTGAGGGCAGAGGAGCCACACCATTGCCAACGTCAGACAACTGGTCATCACCCTACCTGTAGACAGATGATACCTGCATGCAGATAAACACGGGCACTCACTCCTCAGGGTAGACGGTCCAGGTGTGCTCTTAGTTCTCAATAAGTTATATTTTACAGCTGAGAGCTGTAGGGTGTTGTTGAAGAAACTGGAGGAAGAAAGAGATGCCAGAATATCAGTAGCCAACATTTATAGAGCACTTATTATGGGGGTCCTGAGATGGAATGTGTCATTGCATCCACAGTGACCTTGAAAGCGTCAGTACAATGGCAGCTCGATGTTACAGGTTAAGAAGCTAAGCAGCGAGGCCCGCTGCACACAGCTGTTGACACCTAAGTCACCCTGGTGCCTGTTCCCAGGCACGTCACAGGCCATTCCCGCGCGTGTATTTGCCATGTTCCTCTGTGGCGATCCATGGTGACCCCACTCCCCACTCGATGTTCTTAGGACTCAGGGAGGACAGTGGGCATTGAGGGTACCCTCCCCGCCATCACCCCTGCAGGCCACATCCAGGCCTCCTGACTTCGCTGGCAAAGGCCTTCCACTTCCGAGGCCTTCGTAGGGCAGCATGCGTGTCCAGTGGGAGGAAGCTTCTCACCCGCACTCCCAGCCCAGGGCCTGCCTTTACCTGCAGTGCCCAGACACCTGCGAAGCCCCTCGTGTCCAGCAGAGAGGAGAACTGGACACGTGGCTATTCTTTTCTGGGACAAAGTTTTCTCCCCAGTACATCAGGGGAGGCGGCGCCCTGAAGCTCCTGAGCACCGATGACCATTCACAGGACCCTGCCATGCACCGTCCCGCTCCTCCTGAGCCCAGCGAGGTGCAAGGTCCCTGCTGGCAGAGAGGCTCACGGGTCTGGGGCAGAGTCAGCTCGAGGTCAGGGCGCAGGGCCAAGGCCCATCTTCCCTCACCGCGGTGCCTCCCAAGGTAGACAAGGCCCGGCTTCCTGCAGTTCCGAACCAGAACAGATCCCTGACAGAAGGTGGATGGGGAAGGAGTAATGCAAGCAGCCGATGCCTTGAAAACCGCAAAGGGTTTAGGGGAAATGCAAAGAAATAGTAATGTGCATAGTTACACATTTGGCGAGCTTGTATTTTAAAATATAGACATGCTAACTTTTTGAAATAAGTTTGAGAAGAGTTTAGAGGAAGTAAAGAGTGATGATTTCCCCTAAAGGCGGTGAGAGATGAAGGACTACTATCCTTGAGAAACAGCTGTGCTTTCCGAAAAACCTGCCTGGGGTGCGTCTGACGTGAACCCATGGTTGACAGAGCCTCCCTGACAACACCTTCAGTTACAAGAAATTTAAAACCTGTTTTGGGGGGGGTTGGTACGGGGGATCGAACTCAGGACCTTCCACTTGTGAGGCAGGCAGCAGAACCACGGAGCTAAATCCCCAGCCCTAATACCTGGTTTTGAGAGAAGGCAGCCAGTTCTTTAAATTTCATCAAGATCCCAATGGGCAAGCAATCTGGGTGAAGTCAGAAATACCATATGGTTCCTTTCCATTCTAGGTGAAGGAAGCCACACTGCATTTTAAGTTAGCTCCTTGGTAGTGATTCACTGATCAGCCTCTGGAGAATTCTGGTGGCCTGGGAACTAAATGAACTGCTGCATCATTGGGACAGACAGGATTGAAATGACGGGCAGTGTGGACAGGTGTCCTTGACATCCCTGGGGACATGTGTACAGTCCTTGACACCCATGGAGGATGAGTTCTGGGGTCCCCATGGGCACCAAAGTCCAAGATGCTCAATTCCCTGAAATAATACTGCACAATATTTGCATATAACCTACCCACATTCTCCCATGTACTTAGACCATTTCTACAGTATTTGTAATGCCTAATATAATAGGCAAGTTGTACTGAATTATTGAATTTAGTTGTTCTACTGAGTAGAATCTGCTCTATTATTTAGAGAATAATGACAAGGTAAAAATCTATACATGTTCAGTACAAATGCAATTTAAAAATTTTTTTGATGCCTGGATTCGAACTCAGGATCTGACACTTGCCATGCAGGCACTGTGCCACTGAGCTACATCCACAGACCTTAAAAAATATTTTTGATCCACAGTTGGTTGAATGTGCGGATGCAAAGCCTACAGATATGGAGAGTTGACTGTGTAATCAAAATTAATTCCTTTTTCAGATTTATTTTTTAAATTAAAAAAAAGCAAAGTGAGTTAAATTGTTTAAAAAGAATGTAGCTGCTTTCTAAGTGTTCTGAAGTAATTTAGATACTGAACCTTAGGGTGTGAGCGCTGAATAACTTCTTGGCTAACCAGGGCAAGTCAAGGGAGGTCCAGCAACAAAAAGCAGAGGTCCTCAGTTTCCAGACAGCAGACCCGGGCTTGCATTGGCCCCCCGGAGCTGGCTCTGGACTCTGTTCCTCGTTCCCCGTACTGTCCTTGAATAACCTAACCAGAGCAGACAGTCAGGGCGCTACTAGAAGTGCCCCTAGAGGCCCGCTCATCCTCCTCACGGTCACAGTCCAGACAGCAAGTTCCAGGGTGCCCAAGCCCACTGCCCAGGATGAGCATCTGCGTCTTCCATCCCTCGCTCTGCCGCTTTCCCTACAGCGTTTGCCCCGCTTCCGGGCTCTGCAGGAAGCAAGGGGGCATCGCCATTGCTGTGGACCATCAGTTCCCCCATTAGAAAGCCCGGCCCAGTATCCTAGTTTGCCAGCATAATTACTCACTGTGTTTACTTTCATTCTTTCATAGCTGTCCCAGCTAAGTCAGAGTTGGCAGTGGAAATTTTGGAGAAAGGTCAGGTCCGGTTTTGGATGCAGGCTGAGAAGCTGTCTGGTAATGCCAAAGTCAACTACATATTTAATGATAAGGAAATTTTTGAAGGACCGGTAGGTTTTACACATTTTACATTTTTAAATGTATTGTTGTAGAGCACACTATGGGAATATGGATAAATTGTTATGAAAACTGTTGGCCAGTGGGGTGGGGCAGTTTGAATCTTTATCACATTTTTTTTTTTTAAAAGTGAAGAGAATCCACAGATTGACTCTATCATTTCATCCAAACCGGACACTTGTGAGAATGAAAGGGGAGGCTGTTAATAATTTTTCCAGTCCAACGGCCATCCACCAGGCTCAGACAAACTAGGAAGTGTGATCACCACGTGAAATCTGAGCTGCCTGCCCACTGCCCTCCCACCCACCGCGGTGAACGCTGCACATCGGCACGCTCATTTCAAACTCCAGACCTTGCTCTGTCTGTTTTCAATGAGTTTTTAAAAGATGCAAGTTATCCGCATCAGAGACCTCAGCCAGCCTGTGGGGAAAATAACCTCTTTCTCTAGTGGCTCAGAAAATGAGCCAAAAATGAAGTACAGCCTTATTGCAAAGCTCTAGACTTGGGATAAATCTCATATTCTTACAGCATTTGGGGTACCTGACTGGCTATGTTTTGTGGATTTCTTCTGTTTTCCGTGAGTCGTCTTGTGTAACACTCTGTCTTTTGCTGTTCATGAACACAGCTTCTGTGGCTAGAGCTGCAGCATCTGGGCTTCCCTGCCCTCCCTGGGGTGTCAGGAAGCCGCGATCAGGCAGTGCCCAGGGCACTGAGGAGCAGGGTCGGGGCCCCTGGCCCCCCTGCACTGCTGGCTAAGAGTGAGAAACAGAAAGGGGGAGGTGAGGCTGGAGGATGCTATTAGCAGCCCGTCTCTGTTCACTGAGGTGTGCTTTTAGAAGACTTGCGGATCCTCAGTGAGGGGAACTTGGTAACATCTCCTTGTGTGCAGCACGGTCCTTCCCCAGGCACACAGTGATGTGCGGGACCGGAACCAGTCACTTTCGGGTCCACAGCGGCAGCGTCCACCCCACGTCCCCCAGCCCTTCTCATCAACTGCTGCATTCACCACCTGGCCAGGGGAAGGGAAGGAAAAGCGTGGTTGGCACTGCTTTCTCCCTGCATAGCCAGAGCACACATTCAAGCTTGTGTGTGTAGCTGCACCCCTCCTTCCTATGCATGCACACACGTGTGCACACACATGCATACTGTCACACACATACACCATGGTGTCTCAGGTCGGTCCCCGAGAAGGAGACCGTGCAGAGCTGCTCGTCCATGACCTTGGGGCCACACTCTCAGAGGGAAAGGGGCTGAAGGAGCCCGGCCTGGGCTCAGCTGCTCCCTGCAGGGTCTTGGAGCATGAGGGGCACAGGGTCGCGCCAGACCTGAGCCTGCCTCCTGTCCTGCATTTTATAGCAAAACTTCGTCAACTCAGATGGATGTAGGTTTGTACCCATCTACACAGGGACTAAGATTCACCCCTGCACTCAGAGAGAGTTGTCTAAACAGCGCAGCCTACCAGGGCTGTTTGGGCTCATTAAGAGCAGAGGGGTTTCAAGGGTAGAAGCGTTTTTATTCACGCGTTACCAGCAGGTGTTTGTGAATGGCCCACCACATGCCGCACATGCGCTGGCTGCGGCGATGTGGCAGCGAGTGATTCTCCCGGGGGCCCCCTAGTTTCCTCCTAACTAAAGATAATGTCATCTGGAAAGGAAAGCAGAATCTGAAACAAATTTTTTTTTGGTACTGAGGATCGAACTTGGGGACCTTGTGCTTGCAAAGCAGGTGGCAGAACCACTGAGCTAAATCCCCAGCCCTGAAACAAATTTTAATAACATTTTATAACATGGGGTAACAAAACTTTATTTAGACTTAAGAAATTATATCATGAACTATTCAGTAATCAATCTGATCCAGGTCAGATATCCATATAATATATTCCTTCTTTGGGGGGTACAAGAGGCTGAAGAATTTGTCAAAAATGTAATTATTATTAAAATTATTATTCTTTGGAGTTTATTTTATTTCACCAGGCTCATTGTCGTCAGGGTAAAATGTCTACCTCACTGCTTTCTCTGTCTGTGTCTTTTCACATTGAAGAAATACAAGATGCACATCGATCGCAACACTGGCATAATCGAGATGTTCATGGAGAAGCTGCAGGACGAGGATGAGGGGACGTACACTTTCCAGATTCAAGATGGAAAAGCGACAGGCCACTCCACGCTGGTGCTCATCGGAGACGGTGAGCACTCTGAGCAGCTGGCCCAGGAGAGGACGCTGCTGCCTTCCGGGACATGGAGAGGTCCTGGGAGAGGTGGCAGGAACTGTGTCCTGACTGAATCCTCGTGGTCAAAATATAGTTTTCTTTCTTTTAAATGCATGCTGGCTTTGCTTTATTTTTTCCAGTTAATATTTTATTTTTATTGGTCCATGTTTACAGAACATACTGATTGCATTCCTGTGGGGAGTTGGTGCATGAACAGAATACGTCTAAGTCTTTTTCTCATCCCCTTCCTCTACCTTCCCTCCCCCTTTCCTTTATCTCTAGGTCCCCCCCCTTCCCTTTTGAAAAAAGTCTATCTCCCTGTTTCTTGTTATCTATCTTTTATTTTGGTCTTTCCTTATTTCTGCTTGGGTTTCTCATATAAAAGAAACCATGCAATATTCAAGTTTGTGTATCTGATTTATTTCACTTGACATTACAGTCTCAAGTTTATCCTTCTTTATCAAAGTACAATTTTCAAGTTATACTTTACATAGCATCTCATTTTATAAAACTCAATATTAATTTAAAAGAACATGAAATGTATCCCCGGCTCCCAAGCAAAGCTGCACCTAATCACATATATAAAAAAGCACTTACTCCTAAAATCTTCCACCAAGACAGAACATATGTCAGAAACAAAGCACAATACTGTGTGCACACTCTGAATTACTTAACTTGAAAAGAAAAGGTATGCAGAAGTACTGCATGTCATGTTTGTGAATCACACGTTGTAGGTAGATTGCAGTAGTCAGCTGCTCAAATCACTGTGGAAGCCACCAGGATTTAAGTGTGACATTGAACGAGGCAACACAAAGGCTGCCGGATCTGCGTTGGCAACACCCTATACCATTTCACCATTTCCTGGCTTTATGACCTTGGAAAACTTATTTAGCCTTTCAAAGCTTGTTTCTTCATCTATAAAATTAAAAACAAGCAGGGTTGTCACAAAGCAGGAATATTATAACGATGAATACGCATCACTTAGCACAATAGCTGGCATGTGTATTTACACTGTTCAACTCAATTTTATACTTCCTTGTTTTTCAATTTCTAGTTTATAAAAAGCTCCAGAAAGAAGCTGAATTCCAGCGGCAAGAATGGATCAGGAAACAAGGTAAACTTAGGCAGTGAGTAAAAAGAAATACTTCAATACTTTTTTGTATAAAGCATTCCAAAATTATTTCCATAACAAGTTAAAATGCGTGGTATCAATTATGTTAAAAATTCCATGATAAATAAAAATAATTTAAAATATTTATTATCAAATATGTAGACCTTAAAAATTTTTTTAACTAAATCTGTAATTTTTTTCAATTTGACTTCAAATGTAGATCACCTTAGGATTTAAAAATAAGCCTAGATTTTGTATTTGTGATTAATAAAGTGATGCTTATGTCATTAACATTTTATAGGCCCGCATTTTGCTGAGTATTTGAGCTGGGAAGTGACTGGTGAATGTAATGTACTGTTGAAATGCAAGGTAAGAGGTGGATAAATTTTTTATATCTGATGCAAGGGAAATAAAGATAAAATAGAATGAGGGGAAGAGGAAGATCAATTTTTTCATCTCCCACATTTGAGCCAAAATGATTTGACCCATCCTTGCTGTTGAATGTTACAGTAACCATTGGTTTATTAAAAAAAAAAAAAACAACACTTAAGCTCAAATAACATAAAAATATGGAATGGTAAAGTGATTGTTCTTATTCATTACTCATGACCCAGTTAATAAAGACATGGTCTCTTTTTAAATTATAGGTTGAATATTCCTTATCCAAAATGCTTTGGAGCAGAAATATTTTGATTTTTGGATTTTTTTTTTCTTTTGAAATATTTGCATATATATAATAAGGTGTGTTGGGGATATGATCCAAATCTAAATATGAAATTCATTTATGTTTCATATACACATGGCCTGAAGGTAATTTTATGAAATATTTTTATTATCATGTAACAAAGTTTCATGGTGTGGAATTTCCCACTTGTGATGTCAAGATGGCACTCAGAAAATTTCAGATTGAGAGCATTTTGGAATTGAGAATTTGGGGTTAGAGCTGCCCACCCCAGGTTAATATCAGAAGGCCCATGTTGTTTTGGGTTTGGGGCCAAATCTGCGTCTCAGTGGCAGATCTGTTCAGACTCACCGGCCTCCGTGTTTGGGCGAGAGCTTCTTGTCTAAAACAACGCAACAACAATAAGAAAGTTTTTGAGAGCCAAGCACAGTGGCACACACCTGCATTTCCCGCTGTGTGGGAGGCAGAGGCTAGAGGCTCACTCGACCCTAGGACTGAGAGGCCCACTCAGGCGATATAGTCAGAGCCTGTCTTAAAGCAAGTTTTTGTTTTCATTTTTTTAAAAAGTTGTGGAGAAGAAACTGTTGCCTGCAGTTGCAATGTGAGGTCTTGATGGCTGGCAGTAACCCCAAAGCAGAATCATGGGTCTGGCATTTGGCATGCAGTTATCATCCTAAGAGCCAGAACCCGAGTGCCCCAGTTTCTAGTAAGTCTGACAAATTTGAAGGAACATGTTTGCCAGAAACATATAAGAAAAATTAGTTCTAGGTTTCAGCTTCTCCAAAAATGGCAAAGCTTCTTGAAAACCCTTCTCCCAGGTGGCAGCTAAAGCCCTCAGCCTTTCCATCCGCTGGCTGCCCACCACCTTGCTGCCTGCTCACTGTCTCATGGGCACGGCCTCTCCCTACTTTCCTCTTCTCCTATGTCTTGCTGTCTGTGGGAGTTCTGCTGTTCTAATGGCTTCCTCAGGAGAATCAGCCCCTCCCCAGTCCTGAATAACCAGGGGGAGCCCACACATAGTGTCTTAGCCACTTTCCTCATCATTGAGACACAATACCTGACACCCACAAGTTAAAGGAGAAAAGGTTTGTTTCACCTCACACTTTGTAGAGGTTTCAGTCCATAGTTGGCTGGCTCCAAGGCAGGGCAGCATGTAGAGGGGGATCACAAGGAGAAACAGTCCATGGCATGGTAGCAGGAAGCAGAGAGTGATCAAGGGAGGAGGGAGACAGATGTAGGCCATGTCCCCAGTAACCCACCTCCTACAGCCAAGCTTCACCTCCCAATTTCACATTTGGTGGGTGAATCCACTGATGAGTATCACACACCCATGGTCCAACCACCTCCCCAAAACCCCTTCTAGGTACACATAAAACTTTGGAGGGACTTCTAAATATAAACCACAGCACACAGGTTATGGATATTTGTAGGTATGGATTTGTGCTGCTTGTCCAAGGCCTAGAATGGCCTTCTTTCAGCTTCTCTGGCAAAATCCTTTCTCTCTGAAAGGCCTCCCATCCTCAGTCTGGACAGAAGAACCCTTCCTCTGTCCTCCCATACCTCTCTGTTACATTATTATGGCAATTTACATAAATTTACCATCACTATTGCACCTGAGTTCATGGCACATGTGCAGTAAACATTCATTCTCAGGGGGCTATCAAGGGCCGCAGCTGGCACTGTCTACTCTGAAGGATTGAGGAAGAGCCCAAGCCACCTGCTGCCCTACAGGAGTCCATGTGACAGCTGCTCCCTCTGCCACCCTCAGATGACTGCTCTACACAGGGCAGGTGTGGGAGTCATAGGGTTTTAAGATGTCTCATGGTCCCAAAGAGCCAGCACTCTTGTGACAACTCTATCCGTGGGCTTCCGAGATTCCTACAAAGGACGAGTTCCAGTCACAAGAAGCAGGCTGCTTCATGAGGCCCTGACCATTTCTTGTCCCTCCCAGTCTACCGCCAGAGGGAGTTTGTTTGTTGTTTGTTTGTTTTTTGACACAGGGCCTCACTATGTAGTCCAGACTGGCCTTGATCTCACCATGTAGCTTCAGGCTGGCCACAAACTTTCAGCAATCCTCCTGCTTCAGCCTTCCAAATGCTGGGATTATAGTCATGTGCCACCATGCCCACCTCAGGGGCATTTTGCTGGAAGCAACATCACCCAGAAACCCAGTTACTTCCTCCAATTCTAGAACCAGCTTCTGGGGTCATGAGGAACGTTTGTGGGTGCTGGTTTCACTGTGTCACCAGTGTTGCTTCTAACAACAGTCATTTATTAGTAGAAACCTTTGCACATTGTACAATTTAAATGTTCTTGTTCGTAATGAGTCTAGACATTTTCCTCACCTGTTTGTTTTGTAATTGTTTTCCTTCTTTTGCTGAGTAATGTACATTTTACCAGTCATTCAGTGGGGTCTTTAGGGTTTTTTTCTCAGTTTGTATGAAGTCTGTAGTCTTTTATACAAATTTAATTATGTAAGAAATACATGGATATATTCTGCTTAGTAAAAAATAAAATCAAACACTATAGATAAAGTTCTCGATTCCTTTAGCCGTGTGAGGTGGTTTAGTGTATTGGAATTAATGCTAGGACAGGATGTGTGGATGAGAAGCTAAATGAGCCTCTTCAAAATGATTAAGCAATTTACTTGTTCAGCCATCTTTCCCCATACCTATATTTGCCATGCTTCACTTATCTTTTTTTAATGTTTAGATATAGATTGGGTTTATTCATTCTGTCTTTAATAAAGTCACTAGTTGTTGTGCATAGACTATTTTAATCTGATGGGATATGCCTTATTTTGGTTTTGAGATTTTTATTTTCATTTCAGTGTACATATCACTATGTATATATCTATTCTTTTTTTTGAGATTGGGATCTTACTATGTTTTTGCCAACTGATTTTGAACTTCTAGGCTCAAGTGATCTTTTTGCCTCAGCCTCCTGAGTGCTGGGACTATAGATGTGTGCCATTACCTACCTGGTGACTCCAAAGTCAATTTTTACTGCTGGAAATAGAGAGGCTCTTGATTTTCATTTGTGCATTGGTACCCACTTTATTCTACACCTTCTTCTCAATTAAAATAGTTTTCAACTGATTCCCTTAGAAAGCTATGTCTTCTGACTCCGAGTTCAGTACTTTTTCTTCTATCCTTTGCTACATTAAAAACTACTTAATTCTCTGGGCCTGATGGTGCATGCCTTTAATCCCAAGCACCCTGGAAGGCTGAGGCAGGAGGATAGCCAGTTTGAGCCAAGCCTGAACAACTTGAGACCTTGTCTCAAAATTTTAAAACGTTTTTTAAGAAAAAGGCTTAAATAGATGTAGCTCAGTGCAAAGGCCCTGGGTTCAATCCTCAACCTGGGGGGGGAACCCTACTTATTTTCATGAGTAATGTTTCTTTAATTTAAAAAAGAATGGTTCTTTTTCTAGGTGGCAAATATTAAGAAGGAGACTAACATCGTGTGGTACAAAGATGAGAGGGAGATATCCGTGGACGAAAAGCATGACTTCAAGGACGGCATATGCACCCTGCTTATAACAGAGGTAGCTGATTGGAAATGTGGAATGCAATGTGTGAGGTCCACACCCTATGTTCTCCCCCAAAACCAAAGCCAGATTCCACATTCATTCCATGCCCCAGAGGTTTACAGTAGCTTACTTCTAACTGCTACAGGAACAAAAGCTCCTCTCACTTTGTGATATGCACGGATCTCTCAGGTATCTAACCAATACCGAGTGGACTCCACGTGCTTGTTTTCTGAACTACTTTTCTCATCCGCGGGCAGCTAAGTGGGTCCTTCCTTGTGCTTCAGTCTCATGATAGCTTTTTCTCTACCAGTAGAGAGATAGTCAGCTACAATATTCATTCAAGTATACACTTTTATCTACTTTTAGAGCACAGCTTTCAAATATATGTGATCAGTTACTTTTTAACAAATGAATGCCTCGACTCAATCTTAGCCTGAGAGGGTAAGCACTCATCACCAGCCGGGAAAGTGACTGTGGATGGGGGAAAGTGAACTGTCTGCCGCGGCTGGATGCTTGCCTGGGGGGCTTCCCTGGCAGCTCCTAGGTCAAGGACCTTAAACCATGCCCACGCCACACCTGGAGCTACGCTGAGCTGTGAAACGGTGTATCTGTTATCCTCTAGTTTTCCAAGAAAGATGCTGGGTTTTACGAAGTCATCCTGAAAGATGACCGTGGGAAAGATAAAAGCAGACTGAAACTTGTGGATGAAGGTCAGTGCCCAAGTGCTGTGTGATTGAGAATTAGGACTGAGGCTGGGTTGACGATTGAAGACATGCTGGATTTTCACCTTTAATTGAAATTCCAACAGAGTGAACTATTATTTTTTTCCAAAGTATTTCATTGTTGGTCTTCCTAGAAGTGGAAAGTATAGTTTTGATCCTCAGAGAATTTGTAATTTACAAATTACTGAGGGGTCTGTTTTCAATTTAAGTCATCATTTTTGTTTCAACTCTATAAAAGTGTTCCAGGATCAAAAAAACTTCAGTGAAGAGCATGTTGAAAAACAGCTGGTGGTTAAAGGGTAACCAGAAAGATTTATATATGGTATTTGAAGCCTTACAGTTATTCACAAAGCAAGAAACGAATTTCCATTTTTCAGAGACTACTGAGGACAATATATCGTGATAACGAAAACATACTTGTGACCCCAAAACTCTCAATTTTGTTTATGAACGAGATGTGTTAAGAATATTGCTAAAAAATGGTGGGAAAGTGTCTTTGATTTCACCTTCCTATTCTTGGTGATCCCACAGCTAAATGTTTACTGGGAAAAGTCACTGTTAGGCCGAGGAGGGCCAGGCAGCATAGATGGCTTATTCATCACAGATTGATGACACAGATAAAAAAAAATGTCCTGGGCTGGGGATTTAGCTCAGCGGTTTCACCACCTGCTGCGCAAGCGCAAGGACCAGAGTTCGATCCCCAGTACCAAAAAAAAAAAAAAAAAAGTCCTGTAGCAGAACTCAGGCTTCCTGGGACTTAAGAACGAGAACCCCAAAGCCAAAAACCTTCCTGGAATCCTCACTGTGGCTCTTTCTGTAGAATGTAAATATGGTATTAGTCACAGAGAATCGGGAGGAAAAAGTATCCAAATAGGCAGAGATCTTTTACAGATAAAAATTGAGTTATTCCCTCCAAAAATACTAATTAGCAATTGGCCAAAAAATCGTTCCCTTCATCAGACAGGGAATTTTTAAGAGCGAACAGTTTGAGATTTGGCCGGATGCTCAGTATGCCTCTGCTAATGCCTTGGCTTTGAACCTTTATCCTCAGCCTTCCAAGAACTGATGACTGAGGTGTGCAGGAAGATCGGTAAGCTGACATTTTCTCACACAGCTTCCTTGTTCCCCTGCCAGGATGCTTGGACATGTAGGTGCCTAAGATACTCTGTCTTCCCCTTTCAGCTTTGTCAGCCTCAGATCTGAAAATCCAGAGCACCGCCGAGGGCATCCGGCTATACTCTTTCGTCACTTACTACCTGGACGATTTGAAAGTCAACTGGTCCCACAAGTAAGGAAATGGAGACTCACTTGCCAAGTAGAAATTCTTTGTCCACTGGGGACAGTAAAGGGAGACAAAACACAAAAAGAAAGGAAAAACCCCAAAAAACCTGTTCCTTTCCGGCAAGGATTCTTCTCAATTCTCCATCTGGCTTGAGGATCACAGGCGGAAGACCCCAGGGCACCCGCTTAGGTCGCCCCTGAGCTCTCAGGTGCATACTGGGCCACAAGCGTCTTCACAGTGGAGACTCTGCCTCCACACACCTGTGCTGGGGCCGCCTCTGTTTTGCCAGCATCCCAAGCCCCATTCTCTACCCCCAGCTCGCACACTCTGTGGTCCAAAACAAGACTGTAGCAGGCTGTGCAAAGGCCCCTCGTTTCCTGCTAGATGAATGAACGGCCCCAGCCAGAGGGGTGCCCAGGCCGCCCCATTGTTCCAGCACCTGGCGTAGCTGGGCATTCGCGTGCTTCTTGTCCACACTCAGCAGGCTCTAGAGGTCTCGAGATGATTGCAGGGACAGGAGTCTGCCCTGGGCTGAGCCTGGAAGTCGGCCCTAGTCCCGGGCTGCCTGGGTGGAGGGGTAGAGGAACTGCACTCCAGTTCACCTCTGGGATTTCAGGAGCCAAGATGGTTCCTAAACCAAACCAGTCCCGCCCTTCCCCACCTGGCACCTTCCCTCACCTCTGGGCTTCCTTGAGATGCCCTGAGCCGAGAGCACCAGAGGCCTGGTAGAGCTCATGTTTGGGGTGCAGCCACCTTCAGTCTGGTCCCCCTAAGTGGGCTGACAGCCCCAGTGGAGTGGGGCTCAGGAGTGGCCCTGTGTCAGCTCAGAGGCGATGGCTGCTGCGTCTTTGGAGGGCATTGCCAGAGTGCTGGGCATTGCTCCAAGCCTTTCCGCTCTCTGGTTAGCGGATCTTCACAGCCCCGGGCAGGCACTGCAGTGACCATGGCCACCACGGTCACACAGCTAGGAGGCCAGTCGAGGGCTGCGCCAGGCAGCCTCGCTCCAGCACCCGCTCCTCACAGCACTCCCTCTGCACATACAAGTCCCCTGGAAGTCTAGACCACCTGGGAGGGTGAAGTTTGCCCACAGGTGCCAAGTTACAGTCGGCAGGAACAAGAAGTTTGAGGTGCTGCTTGCACAGTGGGCAGCTGGAGGTAATGATGATCTATGGTGCACTGCAGAAAGTGACAAGGGCAGCCATCGGAAGGTTCCCCAGAAAGAAGTGATGAGTGTTTCAGAAGATAGATATGCTTAACCTGATTTAAATGTTACAAAATATCCATGTGCATCAAAATACCACATTACCCCGCTAATACATACACTTTTATGTTTTATGTATCTGTTCAAGATAAATTTAATAAAAAGTCTCAGCCAGAGGTGTCACTCAGTGGTAGGGAGCTTGCCTAGCATGCATGAGGCCCTGGGTTCAATCCCCAGCACCACTAGCAAAAACAAAGTTCTTCGAAGAGCCGTGAGCCTGCACTGGGTCCAACAAAGCAGTCATTTGGGTTTTCTTTAAAACAGCTTTAACTCATGTGGAAAAGTTTATTATTAATCATTTCCTGAACTCTATAAATCCAGTGTAGAACACAAATCTTGTTTCATTTCTTCTTTTTCTTCAGAATACATTTCAGGAAAGTAATTATTTATAAGTTAAAATAAATCAAATTCTAGGAAATTCCTCTGTGACGTCTAGGACATTCTAATCTATCAGTCTGAAGAATGAAAGAAGTAAAATTAGTTGAACCATCAGTCAAAAAGCTTTATGTCTTCTCTAAAAGGATTATTTGTTCAAAACAAATGAGAGCACTGAAAATGTGTTTCGAGGAAGTTGCTGGTAGACTAGCAAAGTATAAACTTCTTCCATTAATTGGTCTTGTCAGTTATGTGACCTTCTTGTGTATTTGTGTGCCTATGAAAGAGACAGGAACCAAGGATTGTCTTCGCTATCTTTTATAGGTATGGTATAACAAGAAAAAACTTAAAATGGGTTTTAGTGTCGACTTCACTCCCGTCTTCCATTGTGATCTTAGGCAAGTCATTTAATTTTACAAACCTCAGGTTTTTTATATATAAAACAGGAGCAGTAAAACCCATTCTGTCTGCAGTGCTTAACATATGGAAGGTAATTATGCATGTTAGCCAGAGATTAAAGAACGCATGTGCATTACACAAAACAGAGAGAGTGTTTAACTCTCTAAGACACGTCTATGGCTTGGGCTAAAATACGTGGGGTACAGATGACTTCCTTATCATTTTATCTACATTAATTTTTTCATCTATTTTAGATATGTAAATAAATATTATTCGAAGAATATAGTGGTATAAGAAAAACATTATTTATTTGAAAGCTAAAATTTTGTTGGTGGAAAACTTTGCTTTTCTCTGCTTTAAAGTTCATGTTTACCGCAACTATAAACAGAGTACACACTTGTTTTAGAAAATATATTTATGATCTATTACAAAGTCAAAGAGAATCCATGATATGATACCCACCATAGTTTATGAGCTATAATGCAGGTATTTCCGGTACTTCTTTCCAATCTTTTCTCTATGCGTGATTGTCACTAAGATAAAGTAGTTTTATATACTGCCTATTTTCTTATTTCCTCACATTTTCACAGATGCTTCACGAAGTTTCTTTTCACAGCCTGAGAGTATATCTACTTACCTTTCTCATCTCATCTGTCTCTAATGGCAGCAGTTCGAGACAGCGGCTCACAATGCCCAGGGCTGTTCTTTCTTTTATTCCCTCACAAAGCAGGCAGAGCCTGGGTCTGTTTGTGACCTGCAGAATACCGAGAAACTCACACCTTGGGACAGCATGGGCCTCGATAGTGTTGGCAGCCACTCTGCCCTTCGCTTCTCTCTTGGCTCCACGGCCCACTACATATTACCTATGTTTTAAATAACTTTGGGGGCCGGGGATTTAGCTCAGTGGTTTCGCCGCCTGCCTTGCAAGCACAAGGACCCAAGTTCGATCCCTGGTACCAAAAATAAATAAATAAATAAATAAATAGCTTTGGAACAGTGTGTGTCAACAGACATCAGGCACCAATGACCCTCTGTGAGTGTGCTTCAGACCAGGTTATAAAGTCCGGCTTATAGCCCTAGATCAACTGCATGAAATGTGCAGCAAAGGAGTATGTAGTTTGGCCATTTAGCTTTAAAGATGCCTTTACTCCTACAAGAACACAAGCAAACACAGAGATAATTCACGTCCTTGAGACATGTTGGTGTCATTTGCCCTGGGCTGCTGTGAGAGTTCATGAACATTCAGATTCTCAGCACCAAGGTCTTCCAGTCCAGAGTTGTGCCTCTGAGGCTGTGGTTTCTCTCAAGCAGAATAATAGCAGATGTGGATCTCAGGCCTATAACAGTTTACAGTAAGGCCTTCAATGAGAGGCAGAGGACTGATCAGCTCTGTGTGACAGCAGACGGTAATGGCGCTTTCTTTGCTTTTAACAGTGGGACAGGTATTAAGTACACAGACAGAGTTAAGAGCGGGGTCACAGGTGAGCAGATCTGGCTACAAATCAATGAGCCCACCCCGAATGACAAAGGGAAGTACATAATGGAGCTCTTCGACGGCAAAACTGGGCACCAGCGGATGGTGGACCTTTCTGGACAAGGTAAACGAGTCTCCTGCGGATTCAAACTTGCTATGGTGAAGTGGATCTTTTTAGTTTTTTTTTTTTTTTTTTTAGGAGGCATAAAGTGGTTTATGAGATAGAAACTTAAAAGTACACATTCAAAGAAATAGATTGCAGGCCCCTGAGAGAGAGAGGTGCGCTGCAGTTTGGAGCTGGGAATATGTATGTTTTTGGTGGTGGAAATCTGTGGGATTTGTGAATCCATAGAAAGTTCCACCTTGGCCTTGGTTTACAGGAGAAAGGATGGCTCACTCACAGAACGGTAACGGCCCTTTTACAGGCGAAAGGCGTGAGGGTCACCATTCTGGGGGGAGGAGATGGGTGCTCTAAGATGTTTTGCCTAAAAATATTTTTTGAGCTCTCTCACTTTGTTCCTTTTGCATAAGGTCAGGTTTCTGCCCTTTACTTTTTCAACTATATTAATTTATGGCCTTAAAGGATTTTGGATGTGATGGCTCCAGAAGAAAAGTATAAAGAAACCTAGGGAATAGTGAGGTGAACAACCTCAGGTAGCTTTGACAGTGTCCTGGAGTTGCAGTCCTCTTTAAAAGGGTGTGATTTTTAGCTATGACTCCCTTTTCTCCTCTGTACCCATCTTTATTGTTGTCTATCTTACCTCGTCCCCCTTCCCCTGCCCCAAGACTTTGATCCCTTATTCTTAAGAGGTGCAGAAGGGCTGAAGATCCATCTTATAACTGCTTCAGGCTGAGGCAAGGTATTGATGCATCCATAAAAGCCTCACCCTGACTGATCCAAAGGAGGCAAAGGAAGATGGGGTGTTTTGTTTTGTTTGGTACCAGGGATCAAACTCTGGTCCTTGCACTTGCGCAGCAGGTGGCAAAACCACTGAGCTAAATCCCCAGCCCAAGATGGGTTTTATCTTATGGCTTGATGAACCATCAACTTTTGATAGTCTGGAAAAGAGGACAAGAATATTAGCAAGTCACTGACACTTCAGTGTCATTTTATAACCATATTAAGCCAGCAGAGGCCAAAAATTAAAAGCAGAATATTGATGAATAGTAGCTCAAAACACTGTAGAAGTTGGACAACATGAGGCAGCATTTGGCATAAGCCTTTTATCTTTCATGTTAACCTGTGTTTGTCCAGCAGTGTTAACCTAAGTACTACATGGAGTTTAAGAGCATGTAGATTCTTCCTTGTTTTGTCAAAGAAATCTAATGTTCTCATTTTAATTATAACAATGGCAAGGAAATACACTAAATAAAGATTTCTGTGTTTTTGTGGCCATTGGACCATTAAATGTTTTACTACAGGACTCAGAACTCAGATTTGACCCCTGTTTTGTAGCCCTGAAGATGTATTGTAGTGACAGGGTCCAGATAAAATAAACATAGAAGGTCTGAAGAAGATAACAGAAAGTCAGTTTATATGACCAAGGCAGTGACACTTAGTGGCTACAATATTTGTGCTGCCGTTCTTATTCTATAGGCATCCCTATCCAGGAAGCCAAATCTTCATGTGAGGGGTACTAAAAAGTAGATTAAAATAACATGACAGCAAAATGGAGCACTGAGCGAGGTGGGAGGACCCGTTCCTGAAGGGCCAGAGGTCTGGGGATCACAGCCCTGATGGCTGTCACAGGTGCCGTTGGAGACTGCCAGCTGTGGCTGGTGTCCTTTTGTGTAGCTTGCCTAGCTTTTGTTGTATATTACCATCACTTTCGTTATTTTTTTTGGTTGTACTTTCCTGCTGGGTGTTTAAGACCAAGTCAAAGGAAGACCTGTGTTCATCAAAATGTACATATACGCACCTGTGTGTGTGTGTGTGTGTGTGTGCGCGCGCGCACGTGCGCGCGCGCGCATGTATCAAAATCAGTTGAGACCCTTCAGGGATTATTTTTAGGGTCACATGAGGAGCCTCTTAGCTCGGCTAGTTTTTCCTAGAGAAATGGGTCTTTTAAAAAGAAGAAAAACTGAAAAGAGGCCCTCATGTTGGTGATGTCACAGAACAAAGTGTCAGCCGATTAAGCTCAAGAGCCCACTTGGCTTCCTCAGTGATTCATGGATGGGGCAGCATCCGGGTACCGAGCAGGAAAACTCTCCCTGGGGGTGGCAGAGGGGTGGCCAGTGCGGGCAGGACCAAGGAAGCGAAGCAGTGCAGGAGCAGACTGATGCTCCCCAGATTCCCTCCGTCCCTCTCCTTGCAGGGCACAGCAGAGGGACTTCCTGGACACGGCAGCTCAGGCTGGTGGCCCCGAAGTCCGGCTGCTGGCGGTCTCACTTCCTGGGGACCGGGCCTTGTTTTATGTTTGAGTTGATGACACGGCACCTAGCAGAGCGAATCCATCCTGCTCTGATCCAGTCATGTGGGCCTGGGGAGAAGCTCAGGCTAAAACCATAGCTCCTGTGAATTTTACTGACAGTCATTTTGGAAAAGCGATCTTCGTGTGCTGCAGTGGCAGAAGTGAGCATCCACAGGGTGGACAGGCAGTGAGAAGCAAGGAGGAAACAGTTGTAGAGACAGGGCACCACGCACAAGAAGATGCTTATGGAGAAGGGCAGGTTACAAACAACCACGCTGTAAGGACAGACAGTGAGAAGCCAGTACTCTGGTCCCTGAAACCTGAGCTCGTTCATGGAGCCCAGAAGCAGTTGTGCTAGAAGGTCTGGGGTGGGTATGAAGGAGAACCATTGAGCACTGAGGTCCCAGAGAATGAGAGCTGTGCCTCTCCTGGGGCAGAGCGGGAGGAGCAAGGAGGCCCAGAGGAGGGGACGGGGAAGCAGAGACAGGCGTGAGAGAACAGAAGGAAGTGGAGAGCCTGGGTCCTTCGTGGTTCTGGATGTCTTAGGCATCTGCTAAGAGAGCAGGGGTTCTGAAGAGAATCCGGAAGAGGTAGTAATAACGAGAGACGCATGCCACGTCTTCCAGAGAGCAAGGATCAAAGGCAAGGCGCAGTTACTAAAGCAAATTTTAAAAGTTAAAAGATGCGCAATTATAGCTTAAAAAGCTTAAAGACACTGTGCCATTTCTCCCCTTTCTTCTACTCTTTCCTAAAGAAATAAAATAGTCCAGAAGGAAGTCGCTGGGTTTTTCCCCCTTTCTTCATGCAGTGAAATACAATCTAACGGTGTGCTACTCTTAGTGAGGAGGCTCAGGATTCTGAGGGCAGCATCCCGGGCCTGCACTGCAGCGCTGTGGGGCCCTCACCCCACGCAGCTCTGGTGCTGCGGAGCCTCCCTGGAGCGGGCGGGTGAGTTTCAAACCTCTTTCAATATTCTGTTGCCACCAAAACTCACTGATGCCTTATCACAAACCTCCCTCCCAAGGCCGGGCGTTGTCTCACCAGCATTTCGACTGCCCCCAAAAGCAGGCTGGGCCAGCGACAGCCCTCCTTCCCCAGGGTGGGGGGGGACCGGGGCAAGCCTGGACCCTCTGCCTGGGGCAGCCGACTTGTCTTCTGCCTTCTCGTGATGAAAACACAGAACATTGACGTGAAGCCTGACTTCAGGAAGAGTTTCCCACCTGTGTGTGGGAATGGGTATCACCTACGTGTTCTCTGGACTCCAGACACCCTTGAGCACAGAGGAGCTGAAAGATGTAATGAGAAGACTCTGCAATCAAAAGGTATACTCTGCAGGCACAAGAAGAATTAAACTGTTTCGAACACTGTGGACTCTAGTCCTTGTCTCCCCGTCCTTTAAGAGACAGCGAACACGACACAGAGGCCCTTAGCTGTCCAGCTAGGGCCCTGTGACGTCATGCGTGCTTCATAGAAGGAAGCTTGTTTGGTGTTTAGGATGTTTAATAGACAGCCAACTTTTTATGAAACAGATTTATTCACATTTTCCTTGGGTGGTGCTAATCCCTGACTTTCTACTTAAAGGGTTGAGCTGAAAACTTTCCAAAGCACCTATCTTACGTTTTCTACCTAGAAAGGCAGAGTGCATTAGAGTGAGTGTGTTACTGAGTCAGTAGTTAGCCACCTTGCGTGGGAGTTTTATTCAGAGCCTGTGCCTGGTCATGCATGGGATTCGGGGTGAGCAGATTCTAACTTTGCTTTTTTCTCTTAAAGCGTACGAAGAGGCCTATGCTGAATTCCAGAGGTTAAAGTAAGTCCCCCATCCTGGCAAATGCTTCTGTGTGCAGTAATCTCCCTGGGTCCCCGGGACCGAGTGTAGAAAGAGCCCTTTGTCCAGTGGCGCTTGCTGCTGCCGTAGCAATAGCTGAGGTCCCCACAGCAGAGAGATGCGGCCCGGGTCAGCTGCTTCCAAGTAGCACTCAACACAGTCTTCTTTGTTTCTATGTTTGTTTGTCTCTCTCAACCACAGACAAGCTGCCATTGCCGAGAAAAGTAAGTAGCCCGCTTCCCGTGGACCAGAAATACACTTCACTGTGCTGTCATAGCTGCAGACAGGAGAGGAGAAGGGTGTCTTGGCTTTTCCTTCCTTTTTTAGAACCGGAGGGGTCCCACATATGTTTTCATTTTAGTCTTGCGGGTAAGAATGCCTATGGAAAGAAGTCCCGGGCTATTCTGGGAGAGTGTCACCCAGCTCCCGGCCAGCCTGAGAAATCTCCTGCTTGCAAATCCACTACGTTAGACACAATGTAGCAAGGGGAAAAATCACACCGTTAAAGAAAAGAAACATTGTAAGTTTGGCACGGGGTAAATCACTGCAGCCTCCCCAGGGAGTACTGGGCCGTTTCCTGAGTACCTAGATCGACCAGCGTCTGAATGGGCCCTTTATGCTGCGCTGGGTCGCAGTTTGCTTCCCTCCGAGAGATTTTTAGAGAACCCCAACAGCCCTGCCCGGAGGGTTTCAGGAACCTCCGGCTAAGCCAGTGCATTGATTTGGTTTCTTTCTAAGTGCGGGGTGGAATTGAAATGCTGCCATACGCTCTACAGTGGATGCCAAGCTGGACTTGAAGGGGGCAAGGGAAGGAGTGAGCGGGGTGTTGCCACCCCACTTCCCAGGTCTGGCTCACTGGGGACTCTGAGCCTACCCCAGCTCTGCTGCCCTCTCCTCCCCATGCAGGCTCAGGCCCTGTTCAGGAGGCGCTCGCGCTCTAGTGGTCAGGGCAGAGGCCTTCTGGAGCTGGGGTGGAGCGGGTCAGCGAGGATCTGGGACAGCCTGAGAGGCCCCCACCCACCAGCAGGGTCCTGCCTGTCTTGCTGGGAGCCTGGCCCTCTGGGTCATGCACCCACACAGCTGGGTGAGGCCGGGGTCCTCTGGCTCTGAGATTTTACACCTACATTCACTCTGAACAGTCCTCTGCACCGTCACCTACCCCGCTCCAGGGGAACCCACAGAAGCTGTGGTGCAAGTTTGCAAACTCAGAGTCCACAGATACCGTGCAACCCTCCTCCCATTCTACACCCAGGGGACTGTGGCACCCAGCAAGGTGACAGGCTGAATGTCACATGGCAGGTCACGTGGGGAGCTGGTGGTATAATGGCATTGACAGAAGGAAGGAGTCTGGTGCCACCCCAAGTTTCAGCCTGACTCCACAGAGCAGGCAATTGTAGAAATGATGATCGAGAGTCACAGATTAATTGAAGTTGGCCCAAAAGTTATGAGGCTGGAAGCCACTGTGTCAGTGCCAGAGAGGAGGCCTTAGCATTTATGACAGAAAGGCGGCTTCCCCAAGGGCTTGGGCACATGGATTGGCCAAGGGCAGCATCTTGGATTTCACACCCATCCTGGTCCTGGTCCCCTTTTGGCTGGCCTTGACACTCAGCTGTGGATAGTGGCTTGTACACAGCTGCCAGGAACCCCTAGGAGACAGAAAAGAACACTCATAGGAAGGCCTTGAAAGAAGATGTGCTTGCATGGGCCCTTCCCTCACAACCCATGCCCCTCCTGGGGACCCCAGGGAGAGCCCACACCAGGCTCCAAGCTGTCGGTGAAGATTCCGTCTGTTTCCCAGCTCAGCCCCACTCAGCTTCAGCGGGGGGAGGGGGGCGGCTGAAAGTTGCAGAGCAGCTCACCACGTGATAGTGCCCTGCTGAGCTGGTCTTTTGAGGGCAGCTGGCCACACCTGCTCACATGCAACCTGTGGATAAAGAAGGGTTAAAGTCCACAGCTGCTGGCTCAATTCTTATTTTGCATTTCTAAAAAAATTTTACCCTTCCCATTTACCAAAGCTCTGTTTCCACTTTTTTCTTCAATTTCTCTCTTTTTAAATTCCTCCCCACCTCCCTCTGTCCATCTCTTGCTATCTTACCATGGGAAAAAGGTCTTCCTGCTTCCTGTTACTAGCATTCATTTTGCACTTCCATTGTACCTGGGGTACTGCACACAGTGTGAAGTAGCTGTCAGGAGAATGAGAGCTAAACTGGGGGTTTGTGCCCCCGGGATCGGATGAGGGGTTGAGGGCTACCGTCGTGCGGGGACTAACCGGAAGTGCCTGTGCTTACAGATCGCGCCCGGGTGCTGGGCGGGCTCCCTGATGTGGTCACCATTCAGGAGGGCAAGGTGAGTGTGAGGAAGGCCCCAGCCTCAACTGTGTCCCCTCTGTTAACATGATGCATGCCAACATCTCTGTCTTAGCTCGTGGCTGCTTCCACTTGCCCAGAATAGCCGTGCACAGGGGTAAAAACGAAGCCCACTTTCCGACCCTCGTAATGCTCCGTAGGCCAAGTGTCAGGATCAAGTTACTCTCCTGGTGTCAGGTATGGATGGGCCACTTGGTATCTCCCCAGTCACCCTCCAAAAGTCTCGAGGAACTGAAAACATCTCACCAGAGCTCTGAGAAAACGGAAGAAACAGCCTCTCGGGCCTATGCAGCAGGGTGTGCATAGACCGTGCCATTCAGTGTCGCCTTCCCGAGAGCCCCACCGATCCCTGTGGGCTCTGCTTGTGTGGGAATCTCAACCCTCTCTGTCTGCTTTCTGGACTGGCATTGCCTGGCTCCCTGATAATCTCTCCGAGAGCCAGCCACACAGTTTCTAACCCGTATTCACTTTCTCCGTTCTTAAGTCTCGGTAGAACAAGTTTAGCACAGCAGTCCTGGGGCAGGGAGAGCTATGAGGGGGCAAAAGCTTTTTCCCTCCAGCACTGGGAGCCAGGCCAGGCTTGGACATTCCCTGGGAGGAAGTGTGGCCGTCGCAGAGCTGGTTTCCTTCTCGGCTCCTTCCGTTTTCCTCACCTGACTCTGGGTCATAGTGAGGATGAGGAGAGAGAGCATGTGAGGCTTCTTGAACTCTGAAACTCAAACCTAAAGTGTGGCAGAGAGGTTCTCAGGATGCTTAAGGTGTTTAGGAGGTTTTTGTTTGATTTAGTTAAGTTTTAACTCCCAAGTAATCAAAATTCCCCAAATCATATGCCCAGTCTGCTGGGATATGTTTAATGGTCATGATTTGCCTCATGGTTTTCTTTCTGAAATGGATTCATAGAATAATTCAGTAAGAAATGCTAATTGATGATTGAGTGAAAGCAGAGTTCTGAATCCACCCGATGTCAGGCCTGCAAGTGATGCACCCAGCAACTCTGGAGAACCAGGGAAAGATACTTAAAAGCATGCCCCTTTCTTTCTCTGTTGCAAGCCCTAGTTCGTTCCTTCTTATTTCTGGGTTTTAGAAACAAATTCAAGAATAGAACTTAAAATGTGAAGTAAGCTCAATGTGATTTCCAGCCAGGGAGGGGAAGGACCTCAGTGAAATGTCATGACAGCTGCCAGAAATGCTGAAACAGAAAATGGCACACAGCGACAAAACTCCTAAAGACAGATGGCAGCCACGATGTGGGAAAACTGAATCACTTGTACATTGTTGGTGGAAATGTAAACCAAAATTATACCGCCCCTTAGGAAAGCAGTTTGGCAATTTCTGGGAAAAGAATCATGCATTTACCATATAACCCAGTACTTACACCCTGGGTATGCTTCCCAGAGAGCTTAAAACTCATGGTCATGTAAAAACCTGCACACAAACCTTCACGTAGCTGTATTCACAGCAGCTGGGCCAGAAACCATGAATGCACACAACCCTGAGGGGCATGGATGGACCCTGGCACCCTCCTCAGCAGTAAAAACGAGTGAGCTGTCACCATCGCAGTGAGCTGGGTGGACCTGCAGAGGATTATGCTAGGTGAAAAGCCCATCCCAAAAGTTCACCTACTGTAGAGTTCATTTATATAACATTTTCTATTGGGTACCCTGGCCTTGAGCCCTGATCTCCTGCTTAGGGGCTACAGCCCAAGGTGAAAGAAAGACAGAAACAATGAGACTTAAACAGAAAGCAGGGGTCTGGGATCATCTGAGCTGATCTGGGCAGCAGAGACACCAGGCACCCAAGACCTCCAGTATCAACTGATTACAAGCGTGGGAAGAACTAGGGCAGGGTGTATGTGAGACAGCTGGTGGCATCAGTTGTCACAGGCAAGGCTCGTAAAAGGAGGGCGGTGCATTCCTGCAGAAGGAACAAAGGGTGACCAGGGCTGAGTTGTGAGTAACCAGTAACCATCAGGTCCCCGGGAGAGGCCGCTCCCTCCCCTCAGCCTGCCGCGGCTGGTGTCTGATGTGGCCCCTTCTCCCACACGCGTATCCTGCAGGCCCTCAATCTCACCTGCTCTGTGTGGGGCGACCCAGTGCCCGAGGTCTCCTGGCTGAAGAACGAGCGGCCGCTGGCCTCTGACGACCACTGCAACCTGCGCTTCGAGGCTGGGAAGACAGCCTACTTCACCATCTCGGGTGTGAGCACAGCCGACTCCGGCAAGTACGGGCTGGTGGTGAAGAACAAGTACGGCTCGGAGACCAGCGACTTCACCGTCAGCGTGTTCATCCCCGAGGAGGAGGCCCGGACAGCTGCAGCCGCACCTCAGAAGGGCGCCCCAAAAGGGGCCCCGAAGTCCAAGTGAGCGGAGGCCAGTGAGGGGGGCAAGAGGAGCTGAGATGACCATGCTGCGTGTGTGTGTGAGCGGTGTGAGTTAAGGATCGGGAAGGACAGCTGGGTGTGGTGGTGCAGGCCTGTGATCCCAGCACTTGGGAGGCTGAGGCAGGAGGATCGTGGGGAGTTCAAGACCAGCCTGGGCTAGTGAGAGCTTGTCTCATTTTTTTTTAATGGTAAGGAGTCTTCTGACTTCTCTTCCCCATGGAGAGCTGGGCTGGAAGAGAAAGTTGTTACATCTTTTATTCATATAAAAAAGCACCAACTAGTAACACTTTGTTCTTTACCTGCAAATTATGTGCTGAGAAAATACCACTGCGTCACCAATATTAGGAAATGGTCTCGAGGAGAGAGCCGGTGTTGTGTCGAGGGACAGGTGTGATGTCGGAGATCAGAGGGCTGTGTTGCGGGTCGGTTTCTGTGAGTTCTCCCGGATTGTGATCCTGCCCCAGCGGCCCACCCAATGACACTGAGACTGAAGGCCTGCGTGTGTGCGTGTGTGGTGTGTCAGGACGCGTGTGCAGGGTGCGTCTGTTGACACCCAGCCCAGCGCCTCCTCACTTTGAATAAACCGTGTCGCCTCCCCTCCCCGTGCCTCTGTCTCTGGCCACGGCTCAGCTGGTGGCCTTGTCACCCCATTTTCCGGTTCTCACTGTGCTGGCAGTGGGACTGGAATGGACCTGGGGGAGCCGGCCAAGGCTGTCACCAAGCCGGTCACCCACCCGGCCACCAAACTGACTCAGGCTGAGGCTCCCCAGGCCACTGCCACAGCGAGGTGCTGCTGAGGATGGCGACCTGGCCAGGACTTTTGCTGTGCTGGCACTGCCCTGATCTCGGGCCCCAGACCAGGCATGTTCCCCCGGAGGTGAAGGCTGGCGAGGCGCCCCCTCTCCCGCCTGAGTGCTTCTCGGTGTGTTCCGTGGTGCCCTGACTGAGTTCCGAGACTGGGGGATTGGCCGAGGAAGGAGCCGGCTTCCTGTGCTCCAGAGGCTGGGATGCCCCGGTCAGGGGCCTGGCTCCTCGCTTTGCTGTCCTGGGCGGAAGAGGAAGGGTGAGAAGAAGTCGCAGGGGACCCGTCCCCAAGGGAACCAAGCCACTCCTGCCGGCCCCCGCTGAGGGGTCCCCTCCTGAGGGCGCAGCCTCATGAGCACCCTGGTTACTCCCTAAGGGCCAGCAGCCTTGGAGGTTAAATTTACAACACTCGTGCTGGGCGTGGTGGCGCAGGCCTGTAATCCCAGCGCTCAGGAGCCTGAGGCAGGAGGATCCCTGAGAGTTTGAGGCCAGCCTGGGCTACATAGTGAGATCCTGTCTCAGAATAATACAAACATACATACATGAATGTTTACAACACATGAACTGGGGGACACATTTCAACACAGAGCAGGGGCCAGAGCAGGAGATGCCCTAGCATGGGAGCCGGAGGAGGCTCTGAGCTCCTTCTCCCTTCCAAAGTTCAGGGCTGGAAGTCGCTGTCCTTGGACTTACCCAGCTGAGAGTCCAGGGCTGCCCCCAGCAGGAGCGAGATACGGCCCCACCCTTGGTCACAGCAGTCGGGGTTCGGATGGGGCCCGAGTGAGTGCATCGGAAGCTTGCCCTGCAGTGGGGCTGGAGCAGTGCGGGGCCTCGGAAGGAGGGAGGGTGTCCCCCGGGTCTCCTGTGAGCCCCACGACAGGGAGCCGCCCCAGTCCTGATCCCTGGAGTCCTGTTGGCTTGGTGAGCTCCCTCCCACCACACTCCTGCCATCTGCCAAGCCCTGGCCGGAAACCACACCAATGAGTTTGCAGGATCTAGGACTTCGGCCTCCAGGATCCTGAGCTCAGCACCTCTTTCCTTTACAAAGTTACTTCAAGTGTTTTATTAGAGTAACATAAAAGTAGACTACTCCCAGGTGGACGTGGTGGCACCCACCTATAATTTCAGCCCTCAGGAGGCTGAGGGAGGAGGATCATCACCTCAGCTACATAGTGAGTTCCAGGCCGGCCTGAACTACAAAGCAGATTCTGTCTCCAAAACAAAACAAAACAAAATCACCTAACACAGCAGGTGACTGAGCTTCCCAGGGATTGGCTGGACCCCAGGAAGGTGGGTGGCCAGGAGCAGTCTGAAGTTGTCCCTGCCTCAGCAGTCGAAAGAACCCCGAGAGGCTGCTGCCAGGGAGCTGAGCAGCGAGGGTCCACGGTGCAGGCTTGCCAGGGCGCAAGGCCCCGACTTCTCAGACCCCCACCTGTACCCCACATGCGCCAGCCACAGAGCCCCAGTGTCAGGAGGAGGGGTGTGCGACTCCACCCCAGGATCCAGACGGAAAGCAAAGAACGAACTGCAGCGTTCTGGGCTCGGAAACCATGAGACTCGGGAGGTCACAGTGCGCAGTCACTAAGGTCCCTGTGGTCGACTCAGGGGCCTGAGAGAAATGATGGTCTGGTTCACAGCTAAGGGCGGAGACTGGGTCTCCAGGGCCACAGCCCTGAGTTATTCCAGCCTTTCTAACTGCCGAGCAAATCGTCTGTGTCCTGATTTGGCCGTTCAGGTACACGCTGCGGTTTCTAAATGAGAACACAGAGCAGGAACTCAGAGCCCACCACGGGATGATGCTCCGTCCAGCCTATTCCCAAGGGTGGCTCGCCCCTAAATGTGAGCTGCCGTACTCAGAGGAGCGTACGGGCTCACTGAAAAGACTGTCCAGAGTTTCATCTCCAGAATGAATAGGCAGCAGTGGCAAGGTGTAACATTTTCCTATTGCTTCAAGTTCAGCTTCATGGTTTTATTATTTTCTATTCCAAAATAGATCCATTGAAAAAATAACTTTAGAGCTTCCTTTTCTATCACTAAATTCCGTTTAATGTGTTAAACTTTATCAACTAATATATTCTCTCTCAATTTTACTTACTCCTATCGATTGACTTTAAAACTTCCTAAGAACTTAAGTTCAACGTTGGGGTTCTCTTAAACGCGCTCGGCTTGCATACAAACATAAACTGACAGAAGATCACAGTCAAGCACTGAGAGCTAAAATCCCCAAACTGAGATGTTACCAGCCCACATTGTCTAAAACACTGCAAATATGTGAAAATCAGACCTGCGTAGACCCCCCCAACGTGTCACCAGCTGTGGGCCCCCGTCGGGGCGGCGTCCCACGCCCACACCAGGGCCCTGCACAGAGCCAGCTGAGCACAGGGAGGCTCCATGAAAACCAAAAGGGGAAAAGTGAAGACACCGCCAGTGGACAGACCAGAGCGTATGCAAATGTAAGCCGCGCAGCCTGCTTGGAGTGGTTCTGGGGAGAACAGCAAAAATAACAGACTCTTCAGGTCGGTTGGAGCTTCGTGCATGTGGGGTCCAGGTGCACAGGACAGGAATCCCAAGCCAAGGATTCCCATAAAAATGGTCCCTGGGGTCCGGCACAGTGTCGCATGTCTGTAATCCCTGCACTCAGGAGGCTGAGGCAGGAGGATTGTCATGAGTTTAAGGGCAGCCTGGGCTACATAGAAAGATGTTGTCTCCAAAACAACAACAAAAGGTTAATATCTGGGGCCCCAGAGAAGCAAATGCAGAACTGTACCACAAGGGACTTTTGTGTCAGCCCACAAGAGATTGGAAATCTTTCTCGTGGAAATCGCTCTCCCATTGTAAGCACCTAGAAACCTGTAACAGGCGTAGGGGAGACGTGGCCTGACTAGCAGATATGCCTGTGATTCTGAAGGGAGGTGATGGGGAGGCGTCAGAGGGCTGAGCGGGCATGATCCCTGCAGAGGGCACGGGGGAGAGCTGCCTGAGGCAGAGAGAGAGAAAGAAAGAAAAGGAAAGAGGGAGGGAGGGAGGGAGGGAGGAAGAAAGGAAAGAAATGAAAAGAGAAGGAAAAGAAAAGCAAGCATGCTGAAAGCAGCTGAAATCTCTCAGGCGACTTTCAGCCTCAGCAGCCTTAGGCAGAAGCGAGGAAGTGAGGTGCGCGCACCCATCCTAGTTCAGTCTCCCCTACTGCAGGAGAAGCAGTCACCTCTGCCCTGCTGCTAAAATACCAAGGCTTCCTTTCTCCCGCTCACTGAGGCAGCAGATGCTTCCTGAGCTCATGCGGCCAGGCCGGGTCCCCACAGCCCAGCACCCTGCTTTCTGCTGGTGCGAGCGGAAAATCACCAGCAGCTTCGCACCCTGCACACTCGCGCTCCCAGAAGTGAGCACATGAGCAAGGTGACCCCGGGATTTTCCAAGTGTGGCAGGGCCAGCGCTCTGGGACTGGAGGGAAAAGGATACGAGCAGTACATCAGTTTCCATGCGTAAAGGCAGCTCGGGAAGGAGAGCTCCCTGGCTCGGTGTAAGGCGAGCGTTTGTCACCAGCGGCTCAGTCTTAGCCTAGCTTCCTCCCAGGCCCCCCCCCGGGGGGGGCACACTGCACAGAGTCCCTGCTAGCAGCCCTGATCAGGACAGTTGCCACTTTCAAACATGGGGCACCAAAGCGATAGGAAAGCTGTCAGTAAACACAGAGCGAGAAGTCATCTTATTGCATAATAGAAACATTTCACGTGGAGTTTAAAACACAATCATGCATAAATCTCCTTCGCCTGTACAATAGACTTCTGGGTCACCAGGCAGAACTAGACTAGTAGGAAGATTTGTCACCCCAAGGCTGAAGGTATCCAGGAAGTGTTCAGACCTTTGCTGATAAATAATGTAAGGAAATACAAGCCAGGAGACTGGGAGACGTTCAAAAGAAAAAACGAGAAAAAGCCACATCGTGGTTGAAACATATAGTCATATACTGTTGCATGACTCGCAGATGTTTATTACGCAGAGACGTTATATAGAGATATGAGTAATATTGCATTAGGGCTACAGAGCTACAAAGAGGACAGAAATTGGGGAGCCTGAGCAGTATAGACACCACATAAAGACTCCTCAGTGCTAAGACATGAGGGACTGCTCCTCATTCCTATGACAGCCACAGTTCCGGAGGTGCAATGCGACCCTTGTCGACACAGGAAGTGTGCTACAAAGACATGGTTCAAAACAAGACTCAAGGCCAGGCAACTCCCTTTAAATGAAATGGAAATTTTTCGAAAGTATTTATTTCTATAATCTTTAAAGTACATATAGAAGCCAGGCATGGTGATGGAGGTCTGTAATCCCAGCTCTCTGGGAGGCTGAGACAGGAGGATCACAAGTTCAAGCCCAGCCAGGGGAGTTTAGAGACTTATCAAGACCCTGTCCTGAATTAAAGAATAAAAAGGGGTTGGGATGTAGCTCAGTGTATTGAAACCCCAGTACTGGGGGGAAAATACATGTAGAGATCAGGCAAATCCTTGGAGAGCCACCCTCTTCTAACTGCAGGCACTGCACAGGCGCTGCTGGGCCAGGCAGCCTGTGCCGGTCCCTGGGCCTGGGGGTCTCCCGGGTTTGGGGACACTGCCAGCTCTACTCTGGGGCTACCTTGGGTACCTGCTGTGGTACGTGCTCACCTACTCCTTCCACAAACACTGAGGAGCAAGGACATCCGGGTCCGTACAGAACCTGGAAGGACTGGTGGGCTTCACACTCCGAAGGGACGGCGGTGTGCTGGGGTTACAGGCGTGGGCACACTCGGGGCTCATAAGCTAAAATTAGAAGCCATCAGGGAAATGAAGCTCCAGGAGGAGGAATCAGGAAAGAGGTCATCCCTCCCCAGAACCAGAGGCCAGAGAACAAGGCGAAGGTGTCATTGGGGTGACTGTGTTTAAATATGGGAATAGGGAAGAAAGAATCCACAGGACAAGAACAGAATTCTATGGTCGGAAACAAATGAATTTGGGAAAAAACATACAGAAATACTACACATGAAAAATATACTGATCAGAATTTCCCGGGTGTGGTGACCCACGCCTGTGATCCCAGCACTCAGGAGGCTGAGGCAGGAGGATCGCCACGAGTCTGAGACCAGCCTGGGCTACACAGAGAAACCTCATCTCGAGAAACAAACAAAATCTAAACTATAGCAGCAAAGTTGGGTGAAATTGTAGCAAAATGATCACTAGAAAGAAGAAGGAGCTGGGACAGGAGCATGAGAGGAGACGTGGTGGGAGGGAAGCTTTCTCTCTAGTCTGTGAGCAGAGAGAAAGGCAGCGTGGACAGGGGCAGCTGAAAGGGTGTAGCCTCCTGTAGTGGCTCAGGCCCGAGGCCTTGAATGCCTAGCAGAGCTGGTGATGCCAATGCAGGTGTCCAGGCCCAGGAGAGCCTGGGGCGGCCCCTCAGGACCAGGACCAGACCGGCGAGGCTGAGCCCTTCGGATCACAGGTTCCAGCTGGGGGCTGGGCTGTGTCCTGCAGCAGAGTTGGGGGGACCAGGTCTGGCGGGACAGCAAGAGCGTGCTGAGAATGATCAGCACCTCCAGGCCACAGGAATGAATCCCAGAGTCAGGGAGGGGACAGAAGTCTCATTATGTAGCTCAGGCTGGCCTCGAACTCTTGGCAATCCTCCTGCCTCAGCCTCTTGGAGAGATGGGATTACAGATGTGCCCTGTCACACCTGAGTAGATGCTCCTTATCGCCATGAAAAAATCCTTTGAGGTTTTTTTGTTTGTTTTTGTAAATTACTTGCAAAAAGTCCAAACATGAAATGGTAAACAACATGACTGAAAAAAAAGGTTCCAATCAGCTTCCTCCATAGTCAGAACTAGAATATATGAGGCCCAGCTTCTAGTAGAAAGCAACTGATACATACAATGGAGTACTACTCTGCCATGAAGAAGGAGAGACGGAGTGATTTGTAGGCAGATTGGTGCACCTTGAGGCCATAATGTTATATCGAATGGTTTCTCTTCTATGAGAAACCCAGAGTATAAATAATTTAAAGAGCAAATAAAAGATAGATAAAGGAAACAGGGAGGCAGATGTTTTGCAAAGGGGAAGAGGACCTTGAGATGGAGGGAGAGGAAGAGAGGAGAGAAGGGGAAGTAGGAAGAATGAAGATGTGTCACGAACATGTCCCAACTCCCCACAGTGAAGGTGCTCGTTATGCACCGCAAACCTGGACGAACAAAAATAAAAACAATTTTTAAAAAGCAAGCACACTGCTTTCCTTGGCCCCATGGCCTCTGCTGGGCTCTGCTCCTCCCAGGGCCCCATCAGCCCTTCCTGTGCTCCTGGAAACTGCAGACCGGCCAGAAACAGGAGGCTGGCACCCCAGGGGCAGCGCTGGGGCTGCTCCCAGCTCCTCCAGCCTCGGCCCGGCCTGGTCCCTTCCTCCTGGGTCACAGT